ATAATGGAACTTGTACAGTGATAACAGGCTGAGATATAGCCAGCCACCACTGCTTGCTGAAAACAGATACCGGAAAGGAATCTTCAAACTATTCATAACACATTTCCAAGGGTAAGAGATGTTTGACACACAACTTAGCAAGTTATTAAAAACTCATTCCTATTGGAAGCAGTGGAATGGGACTCATTTAACAGCCAATGGCTCACAAACTAACGTGAATCTTATTTTAGTGAATTTGCTCCCCCCCCCCCCCCGCAAGACTAACATTTGCAGGATTGTGTTTGACTGCTGCTGAGGTGGCAACTTAAGTTTTATCATTAGAAGGCAAGAGGCACTGACGGGGCAGGAAACTGTAGCTGAGATCCTTCTCGAAGTTTGAGTAATTACGGTAGTTTGTCTTCCAATTCTGGAAATGACACAATTCTTTAAAAAATAAAATAAAGTTCTACCTAATGATTAATAATAAACAATAATTTATTTCTGTTGCCCGTCTGGTTTCAGTCTCAATTCATGCAAGCCACAAAACAGGCATATTGGCAAAGTGCTCAGTCAGTATATAATGTTTAAACCCTCCCTTTAATAATTATTATTATTATTATTATTATTATTATTATTATTATTTCTACCCCACCTTTTTCTTCATGGAGCTCAGGGTGGTGTACAAAATTCTCCCCCTCTTAATTTAATCCCCACAACAACCCTGTGAGGTAGATTAGGCTGAGAGGCAGTGACTGTCCCAAGGTCACCCAGTGAGCTTCCAGGATTCGAACCCCAGCCTCCCATGTCCTAGTCTGTCACTCTAGTCTCTACACCACACTGGCATCCTGCCTAAATAGGCTTAGTCCTTTATTTCATTCACCATTCCAACTTATTTATAGTACTGTATATTGTTTTATCTTTCCAATGCCTCTGTTCATTTTCTAAACACAATAACAAACGCTAGTCAAAGGTACCCACCATCTTTCTGGCATTCTCGTCCGTGATGTTGGTGTTATAATTCCATGAAGCAAGTGAATTTTCATAAGACAGGTCTTCTGCACGGGCATTAAATTGCATCAGAAAATCTGTAGCCTCTTGAACCACATCCCCTGCTACAGTCTGAAGAGCCAAGCTCCAGATAAGGCAGAGTTGGGCCAACATAATTCCTCTTGGGCCAAGAAATACCAAATAAACGAGGTTCCTTCAAGAAGGCTTCCGTATTAGCGTTTGTCTCATCAGCCTTCAGATGTAGGTTGGCTATGGGCAAAGAGGCAGAATCCTATCTACTGGGCATTTTATACCTTTAAACTAGCAAAAAGGCAGACCCTAGGATAGGTGTGTAGGTATTTGTTTTTTTAAAAAATAAAAAATTAAGTATGCAAAAGTGAATAATTAACTTTGGAGAGGCATAATTACCTGTAGTGTTTTATGGCTTTCTTTTGAAAGGCTTTTACTTATAGTTAATATTTCCCCAACATCCTGTCAATGATAACAGCTAGTTATCATCTGTCCTGTCAGATTTTCGGAGCTTGGGAAACTTGCGAATTTTTACAGATATCTAAGAACATGTTTTAGAACGAGAATAAGTCATCTGCAGCCAAAGATTGGGCTTGCTCCAATGTGTAGACTTCGGTGTCATCACAACAGACCTCGTCACAGTGGACTTGGCTGTGAGGCCTCGTCCAGCTTGCCCTCTCGTCCTTCTCACCATCTCCCCTAAGGGGGAGAGTAAGCCTCTCTATTCAGCCCTCAGGCCACAACTCCTCCCCAGATCACACTCCTAACTTCTCTGCTTCTTCCTCAAATGCTTGCGCTTGGAAGGAATGTATCCTTCAACTTTGAACCCCCCACCCTCTGTGTGTGTGTGTGTGTGTGTGTCTGTGTGTGTAAAAACCTTTGACTTTTCCATGACTGGACTTTTCCATGACTTTTCCATGACTTTGAGCTATATGGCCTATAGCTCAAAGATAGAAGTCACATCTAATGATGTTTCCCCCTTTTTCCTCTTCACACGCCCCACCACCACATAGCCCCCAGGAGGTTTCCTGTGAGGGAATGCAGCCCTTGTACTGGAAAAGCTTCCCAGCCCCTGCTGTAGACTACTCCCTTGCTTCTTCCTTTGGCCTGCTGAGACCCCTGACTCCTCTTTTCCTAGACCACTGATCACCTTCAGACCTTTATGCCAGCACTATTGATTGGTGGCACCAGAGCTGCACACTACCTGTGCTTTATCATCACTTCCGGTGCAGGGCAGGGGAGTAGGAAGGGGGGGCAGTGGGGGCAGACCGCCCTGGGTGCCCTCACTGAGGGGGGTGACATTCAGCGTGCCGCCTGCCCTCGACTCCCAAGCCTATGTCGGGGTAAGGGGGAGAGCTGTGCCACTTTGCCAGTGGCATTCCGCCTTTGTTTTGACAGCTTGGGGGAGGTTTGGGAGTCACGGGCGGTGCGCCAAATGGCCACCATGGGCTGCTCACTCCACCCCTGGCTGCAGGGCTTGCGTGCCGCTCCGGGTGCCTGAGCAGCTATCCCACACCTGGGAGGGCACCCTCCGCGCCACGCACCATTTAGGAGCGTGCCCACCCTGGGCTTATGCTCCGTCGCTGGTGCAGGGATGGGGAACCTGTGGCCCTCCAAATATTACTAGATTATAACCTCCATCATCCCTTCTGTGGAATGCTTTCCTCAGGAAAGCCTGCTCTTCACAGACATTGCCATATTTCTGGTGCCAGCTTAAAATGTAATTCCTCTACTGTCAGACATTTGGTAGAATGTGATGGACTGATTTTTAACTATCAGCCACATTGGTTATTCTCTCCCAAAATGTAATACCTTGCTTCTCAAACATGTTAGCAAGCATTCCCAGTTGACCCATTTTGCATATGTTCTAGGAATCTTGTGAATTAGGATCATTATAAAGTGGCAATAGTGCATCTCGGCAGATTTACCCAGTAATTTACACTCACAGAAATCTTTAAACTGGGAATATTGTTTATTGCACACCCACCCACCCAGAATCATAATATACACATTTAACATTTCAATATCTATAACGGTACGTAATAGTACCGTACTATTATTGTGCTGTACTACAGTACATATCTATTAACATCGCTGAAGATAGCTCAGTAACAATAAACATATATTTCTAAGGTTTGAATGGTTTAGCTAAACTTAATTTGCAAAAATCTTACTACAAAGCTACTCAGCTGGCAATTTAAAAATGTAAATTACCAATTAACTTCTGGAGCTGAAAGGGTATTCTCTGTGTTAAAATCTGTTAACCTCTTTCCTTTAAAACTGCAAAGAATTAGGCTTGTATCAAGCATCTCAGCTTTTCTTTGTTCCCAATTATGTGCTAACAACCTTATCTCTTTTCAGCCTGGTGTCTCTGTGATGCATCAATTGTCTGTCTGCCTCCTGGACAGAAAATCAGGAAAGCTCTGTTTGCTCATTCCAGTGCTGCAACCTATTTCCTGGAAATGTATGGGATATAAATGTTGAGATTTTTAGGTGAGCGGTTGTAGCATCACCGTGACCTTTAAAAGAAGTTGTCTCTTAATAAGACAAGGGTCATGCCTGACTCAAGGGCTTTGTGGGTGCCTCATTTGCTTGTACTGATTTTTGCCAAGTAAGGCAGAACAGTCATTTTGCTTACAATAATACCATCAGTAGAGCATGAGACAATCTCAAGGTTGTCTGTTCAAGCTCCGAATTGGGCAAAATGTGGATTCCCTCACGGTCCCTTCCATTTCTACAATTCTATGAGTCTATGATTCTTATTTTAGGCCGCAGCTCACTAATGGGCCCACTCACATGTTAGAGACCAATGGCTGAAGACCAAATGAATTCTCTATGGTTTTAAAACTGTAATCTAAGAGTCAATCAATGTGGTGTCCTCCAGATGGTGTTGGACTACAACTCCCATCAACCAACACAAATGGTCAGGAAAGACAAGGAGCTGTAGTCCACCACTATCTGGAGGGAACCACCCATGCTGTAGTTCTATGGAAGCCCCATTGAAGTCAATGGTCCTCTGAGTAGACATACATAGAATTGTGCTGTAAGGCTACTGTTGTAAGCAAATCAACTTGGAGGTCCCACTGAAATCCATAGGATTTAATATCATGTTTATATCTGGAGGACAAGTATGGCACTTTGACCAAGACTCATATGATTTCCCCCAAGTCCAAGTCTTGCTTGACTGTCAAGAAGGCCTACATCCTATGACAAAGAATGAGAGGCAGGGGTAGGGAAGGGGATGTGCATTTGCAGAGTTAGACCCAGAACTCTTCATCCAGTGACAATCTAAATATTTCTGCCCTGCAAGACTTGGACCAGAAGAGTCCTGCAATGAGAGTTTTGCAATGGCAGGTGGGTATCATTCACACCTCCTGTGGAAGATGAGAAAGGCACGGGGCAGATTCTGATTCTGAGCTCAGTCAGGACAAGAAAGCAACTTTTCTTTGACCCCAGCATGTGCCCAAGGCAGGTCTAGTTCTACATGCTGAATATCTTAGTCCAAGAAAAATGGTGCTGTATTTGTGTTCAGTGGTACTTCTGTTCCTTTCACTAGTTAATGCTGCCTTTCTAATAAGAGTGAACCAAGCGTTTTTGATTTCAGAAATACTTAAAGGCTTGGATGAGCTCTTACAAGTTTAGAGTAATATCTCCACTGCCTTAACTCCTGAATACGCCCAGGCCTAATTTAACATGTTACCTTTGGTATGGTGGCCGTTTCTCCATGTATGTAGAAAGGAAAGTGCAGAGACACCCAAATATTAGCGAACTCTGTTTGTGGATACCCAGTACCCCTTCTCTGCTTGCGTAGAGTGTTGGCAGCTACTAGAATTAGACAGCCAGAGCAATGTCCCATCTTGCCTATCCGAGAAAGACATTCCATAACAGTTCTGAGAGTAAGAAGCGTGCAAGGTCACTGGTTCATGACAGAACCCCCGCAATGAAACTCTCGTGTAGTGATATCCATACCTGCTTTCCAGTTCTTGAACTCAAAAGACTGAGATGCTTTCAGCAATAGTGTATTTTATTGTCTAAAAAAGCACACCACAGCATGTATGGAAAAGACATACACCCCCTTGCTCAATGGGGTTTACAGCTGGAAAAGACAGTAAGCACAGTTTGTATGAAGGGGCAGAGATGCATGCAAGTTGAGAAGGACGCATGTACAGGCCTGCTATTGAGCATGCTTCCTTCCTCTGAACATCAGTACATGCACTATTGTTGCTTCCTCTTGCTCCCTGCGGTTCAACCTATGAGCTCCTCTTAATCGTCTTCCCTCTGTTCAACCTCTGAGTGTTAGCTCAGAGGTGGTCATAACAGTTACACCAAACTATGCACATCTATTGGCAGCAGTGATGGAGCAGGAAGCTAGTCCCCCCCCCCCATCTTTACTTCTTAAAGCCCTGCAGAAATCTTCAAAAGCCGTTCCACAAGAGATCATGAACTTGCTTCAAAGGCACAATGACAGTGACAAGAGCACAACATGTCTCTGAAAAGTGATCATCCGTAAACCCCTAAGGGCAGCAAATGTTCCTTTCTCACCCATTTCCCCCATCCTCTGTTCTCATGGGCCTCAATGAAGCGCACATGTTGGTTAGTATATTGGATCAAAGCAATTCACTCTTTCCCCTCACTCGGAAAGTAAAAGGCAAAGGGAAAACTAATAATTTAAATACTAGTAACAAGTCAGGATGCTTGAAGAATTTGATTTTGGTGATCTGAACCTCCCTCATTAATGTATAGAGATCCTTACGCAGTTATTCTTCGGCTTTCACACTTCTCTGCATCTTGTGATGTCGCTTTTGGCTCAAAACATACAAAAATGCATTTTTAAATGCTACACAGGGGTCCTGTGAGAAACCCAAATGGTTGTTCCTGGATCCCAGAATTACACATTTTGAAATGTGTTTTTGGAAGAATAATTTTGTGGAAATACTTTCAAAAATATTTAAATTTTAAAAAGTGCAGGCATTTGGGGTTTTTTCCTTTTAATTGAATGCAGGATGGAACAAGTTTATGGATTAAATATGCAAAAGTTATAGAGAGCAGGAACAGAGTGATCCATCTGTCCCTACTAATACTGTTCCTGCTGTGAAATGGCCTTTGTCCTTAAATCTCTGATAGGTCCAAAGAACATTAAGCATTGGGAGTCAGATTTGCTCTTTCCATGAACCTTTCGATGAGAACTGAATTTGGGTGTGTATGTATGAACACACTTATAAAAGGAATCGCCAAATGAAAACAAGGCAAAGTACACAAGTTTTTTCTCTTCTTGTTCTCCGATAATCATCATTAATTGCTAGATAAAACGAGGGCAGAGTCCCAAGGAAGGGCACGAGAGAAACTGAGACGGTTCATAAGGGTGTGAACCGCTCGTCATCTGCTGCTGCATAGACTCCATTAATACGGCCAGCTTTTAAATCCAAGCTATCGCAGGGAATTCCATTTTCCATTGTTACGGTTGCTTCACATTTATCGTCTAAACCTTCTGTTTCTTCAGGTGCCTTATTACGTCTGAAAAGAGTAGAGGAGAAAGTTATTGTCCTCGAGAAGCATGACTTGGGAAACAGAATTTCAATGTACCTAAACCCATTTTAGTACAGTGGATTGGTAGCATCTGGGCTGCAGGCGAGCCTAGAGTGTTACTGGCTGTGTGAGCAAGCCCTCTTCCCACACCCCCAAAAGATGCAAAGCTCACCCCCTGATAAATGCAGATCTTCAGTCTGCCCTGTGAGGGCTGCACAGGAGAAAAGCATATTCCTTGTGCTTTTTCTTTACCAATGCAATTTGACGCAGCTCTTGGCTAAAGGCAATCTTAGGAGATCTCTGAGTAAGTGTGGTGTAATCCAGCAGCAAGACATTGTCTGTGTTTAAGATAGCCTTCGCCAACTCAATCCAGCATGCTGGAAGGCACCAGGTTGGCAAATACTGTTTTAACAACTGAGATTCTAGCACATTCATCAACCTCTCATCGTCAACAAAAATGAACCTCATTTACAGTTAGAAATTTCCCTACAGCTTCTGTCACAACCAGTTTTTTCATCTGTTTATTCTGCCTTTCACACCACTTATTTTCTAGATGACCCCACCTCTGATATAATTGCGATAAAAGCAATGACTGTCCTACCAAAATTTCCCTGTTTTTTCCCATCTTGACTAGAAGGAACAGTTTAGCAATCACTTCTTGGGTCATTTCCAGATTGATTTCTGACCTTGCCGACCACTGATTCACAGGGAATGACCTGCCCCTGCCATATATGATGAAGCATCAGCTGCTATGGGGAGATAACAGACTCAAAGGTCAGCCACAGCATTTCTTCAGCTCCATAATACATGCGGGAACAAGCTCAGTCAGGACTTGCATATCAGCAATACTCACTGCCATAAAAGTATATAGTTCTGCTGCAAATCCTTGGGTGGTGAGCTTTGCTAAAAATAAATGGAAAGTGCTTTCCTTGATTGCAACATGGATCTTCTACAACCTCATCTTCAGAGGCCTTGTTCACATGACTGCCTTCACTTTCATGTCTCCTTCAAATGGCCCAAAGCCATTCACCCATTGAGGCCACATTCACATTCCCTGTAGTCTTCTGTGAGGTGTCAGGTGGGCATCTATGGAGTAAGGTGGACCCACAAGGAAACTGGTTCCAAATTGTAACACCTTGAACTTGGCCCGGTAACAGATTGGCAGCCAGTGCAGATCTCTGTGCAGAGATGTTGCATGTTGGCAAGGTCTCACACCTGTCAGCAGCTGTGCTGTAGCATCCTTCACTAACTGTAGACTTTGGGTCAGGCACAAGGGAAGCCCCACATAAGAGAGCAGAGACTTAAATCCAACCCTGAAGTCACCAATGCCTGAGCTACTCCCTGTCTAGGAAGTTGTCATACCATTTGCTGCTGGTAAAAGATGCTTCTAGCCTCGCAGGCTGCCTGGGCCTCCCGTGACAAAGCTGGATCTAGGATCACTACCAGACTGCATACCTGCTCCTTCAGGGGAGGTGCAACCCCATTCAGGGCAGGCAATGGACCAATTGATCAGACACTGGAACCACTCGCCTACACTGCCGCCTCCTTGCCAGGATTCACGCTCGGCTTATTTTCTCTCATCCATCCCACCACTGCATCCAGGCACTGATTCAGTATGGCCTCTCTTGAATCACTGTACTCATACCTTGCTCCAAATCTCCCAGCAACTTCATATGGATATGAAATAGCACTGGGGAGAAAATAACACCCTGTGGCACCCTAGAACTTAGCTGCCAGGGGCCAGGTATTGAAAGTTGCAGGGAGATCAAGAAGCAGGAGCAAGGCTGCACTCCCCTGCCCCCAAATAGAAACTGGTAGTTAAATATGACTTTTCTCTTTTTGTTATGAATTTGGCCGACAAATTTGACCAGCCTCCTCCTGTATATCTTGCTCTCCAGCTCAGATCGGTGATCCAATTCTGTGTCCCACCACCTTCAAAGGAATAGCTGGTTTGTACATGGGAGAGCTCTTCTCCATTATGGTACCTAGGCTATGGAACCCACTGCCTCAGTGTGGAGAGCCAGTGTTGTGTAGTGGTTAAGAGCAGTAGACTCGTAATCTGGTGAACCGGGTTCGTGTCCCCGCTCCTCCACATGCAGCTGCTGGGTGACCTTGGGCTACTCACACTTCTTTGAAGTCTCTCAGCCCCACTCACCTCACAGAGTGTTTGTTGTGGGGGAGGAAGGGAAAGGAGAATGTTAGCCGCTTTGAGACTCCTTCGGGTAGTGATAAAGCAGGATATCAAATCCAAACTCTTCTCAGTAGATCTGGCTGACCCCCTGCCTCACAGTATTCAAGTGCTAAGTGCTCAATGAAACTGTTTTCTCCTGGCGTGTTTATGATGTGACTAGTTCGTGGATGTATTGTTCTCCTTTGACTTTTTGGGGAAATCCATAAATTTGGAAGTTCTGTTTTTGAATTTTTTAAAATTGACCTCTTTGTTTCTGAATTATTGCTGTTAGGTCCCTTGAAGTCTCGGTGAAGGGATGGACAGACATTTTAAGCAACCGCTCCCTCCCAAAACCTACAGTTCCCTTAAAAGCCAACGCAAAAACATAAAAACATGCAGCGTTCACCTCTTGCGTTGATGGATTCCGGATATTATAAGGTAAGCAATTCCAACCGTAATGATGCAAAGGACAACACCAAACACAATCAGCCACGTCGGCACAGAGCCTTCAACTGGTGGTGCTAAAGTGGACGAGATTTCCAGAAACTGCAGCGCATCATCATTCAGTAAAAAGGCACTGTTGATTCGGTTTTTGTTCTTCCTTAAAAAGAGATACGAAGTAGAACATCTTGTTCATTTCCCCCTTTCATTAATTGTTTTGTTTTCACATTATAAATGTTGGCGACTGCACAAATAGTGATGCATTTTATAACAACTGTTATACAAGTAAACGTTTTGGGCAAGATCCAACGTTATGCCACTGGATGGGATGGGATTTCCCCTTCCTCTCCTCTTCACTTCAGCCCTTCAGTCTGCTTTGGGCTGTTGTGGTGCCGTATAAAAGGAGCGGTGCTTGAATTATAAGGACCTTGTCTTTCTTACCAAATCACACTGGTTTTGCAGTGTTCTGGGAGACCATGGCTTGGTTAAAATTGGGGCGTGGAGCTTGTGTATTTCATTAAAACCCTATTCTCTCTCCCCCCCACCCTGAATTCAGCACTGGGCAGCATTTTTATTAGTTTTTAGCTGTCCTTTAGCAATAGGGACTGATGGTACCATAACAAACATTTCAACAACATCTCCTATCATGATGACCAACATTTTTAAGTCCAAGGTGCTAGAACTGCATGCCGCGGATGAAGAAAGAGACTTATGGTAAATCTGCTTATGCAGAGTGTAAATGCTTTGAAGAGCAGCCAAAACAAAGTGCATTCCACTATTCTTACCATGGTCCAACAAATCAGTAATCTCCTCCCCGCCCCAGACACACACAATTGCAGTGAAGTTGATTTTGAGTTTCTCTGTAGAAAACAGTTTAATCTGCTCATAAGCTTAAAAGTTAATCTTTCTCGAAGAATGCAGTCTCATTCATTGCCACATTCGCATTTATTCAAACCAGAGGCAATACACTTCTAAAAGATAACATGATTAAAAAACAACAACCTAAGTTCAACAGCAAGTTAAAAACACCCATGACAACTATTTTCCACTGAAACCTTCCTGGATTCCCCATTTAAAGGCACTATCATTAACAAATTCCTAACATATAATGGAGGTCCCAAAATGGGCTATTCTTCTCCCCTCAAATAAGCTCCTCACTTCCCAGTTTAAATGTGATTATTTTAAAAAACGAGGAAGTGAGAGAAAAGTACATTTCCACTGTGCTTTATAAAAGCAGAAAGCAATTCTTACAATGATACAAATGAAAGGGATATACTGTATATATAGCTCAAAGTGATTAAAAGCATTGATAACAGGAAATTTATGTGAAAAAATAAGTCTCGGGCATGGAGTTAGAGAACACAGGTTTAAAACCCTGTTCTAGTATGAAGCCCACTGTGTAGATTTGAACACGCCACTCTCTTGGAATCTAGCCTACAAGATTGAATTACTGGAGAGCTATAAATGCAACTCTAAGCAATTCTGACCAGCAATGCAATGCAAATGCTTACTAACAGACAATATGTTTGGTTAGAACAACATTGTGAGAAGATATAAATGGCTGATGCAGTACCTTATGGCAGCTTCCACATCACTCCTAGGAATCGTTGCGTTTGTGGATGAATCTGTGACAACAAACCAAAATGATACCCGATCTGTTACGTTGCAGAGCAATACGTTGGAAATTCTGTGAATAGTTTAGGACAAAGAAGAAGAAGAAAGGGATTATAATGACAACCAAGTCCTAAGTAGTCAAAAGACAGGGGGCAGGTTCAAGATTATCTGGAAATCAAGCCCCTTCATTAAGGAGGCGCTCTTCTTTATTATTACGTCCGCATTTCACGATGTGGTATGGAAAACAGGATATGGAGCATTGAGAGAAGACCAGTCGCACAGTGGACTCTGGAAGGCAATGATTGCCCATTGAGCCAAATCTTTTAGGTTGCTGTCCCATCGTTCTTCCTTACAACTTAGGCCTGTTTATCGAGCATTCAACCCAGTTTTCTTGTGGGGTATTTATACATCTTCCTATTAAAAGTATTCACCCCACACTTTTCAGAGCATTTCCCCACTACTTTCCTAACTGCAAAAAGCCCATTACAAAAATGCTTGTGTTAGAGTGTCAAAGCACTTTATCTGAGCAAACCTGCATTTCTGGTATGCACTTCATTGCCTCACAGAAATTAGTCCAAGTCTGTAAGCAAATGGAATAGGCAGCTGGTGGCCTGAAGGCTCAGTATCTGTCTCTCATGATAGCTGATCCCATACTTCTTTTCTCCTCTAGCAATAAAAGCACTTTCGTTGCTTTTGCCCATCCCTGTGGTCAAAGCTGGAAAATGGAAGCCAGCAGCTGAGGTTCTGCCACCATCTCTGCTGCTCACTCTGGAAAGAAGGGGCTTTAAAAAGTCCAACCCACTTCTTGGCTAGTGCAGGAGATGATCAGTGTGTACAGCCAATGTTGGTGGCCCTTCTGACCTTGATCCATCCGCAACATGGCTCTTTTTTTAAAAAAAAAAAAGTATCCTGAGGTAAAAAACGGCACAGGATTTTACCTCTGTTCAATGGTGACATCTTCTGGCTGCTTAACAGCAGTGTAATACTATTTCTGTTACTTATTACTGATGTTTTATTTTATATATTACATGTTAAGTTACAGATTTAATAACATGTTATGGTATTTCAGTTGCATCTGCTGCTAGTTTTATCAATGGAATTAGTGTGGAGTCATCCATCATGATACATACAAAAATTAAGGCATATTTACCACCACCACCGCTACTACTTATTGGTATACTATAAAATACAGCATTAAAACAACTTAAAACGAATTAAAATCACAACTGGAGGTGGTTTCTCTCTCTCTCTCTCTCTCTCTCTCTCTCTCACACACACACACACACACACACACACACACACACACACACAATGTAGGGGTGAAAGACCTTTCTTGGTGGTGGCAGCGGTGGGAGGCTGACAAAGAGAAGAAACAGGAGCAGCCTGACAATGAGGCAGAGTGAAGCAGCTGCCTCAGGCGGCAGATGCTGAGGTGCAGGGAGGGGACAGAACTGCAAATGCCATGTGACTTGCCCTGTCCTCCCTATGCTAGCCTGATACCCTCAAGTGCAGTGGAAGATACTGTCCTTTCACCAGTATTAGAGTAAGATTCAACTACCAGTCAAATTGGCTTCTTGGGAGAAGGTGCCATCTTGTCCTTTGCTTCAGGCAGCAAAATGTCTTCAGCCACCCGACATTGGTGGGTGCCGACTCCAACCTCTATGGAGGAAGAGAATGAAGGCTTCCTTCTCATGTTAGCAGGGGGACACAAACCTGCAGTGAGAGGGGGCAACAGGGCAGACTTTTGTCCCCTATGGAAAATTCTGTAGTTCTGGTACTGGTCTGGACTCAACCCAGTTGCACTCAAGGATTTAACATAACTCATCTGAATGAAAGTAAGTGTTCTTACTTATTGGCTGTTCTAAAGTTTAACTTCCCTGACACACTAAGCATCTGTTCAGCATTTTAAACAAGTCACAGATTACGGAAACTGAAGTAACAAACCCCTCACAAAGGCTACAGTCAGTAAGTTTTAACATAGAATGATCAACGCCTAGTGTGTTGTCCTTTAGGAATTGCACAAATAATTTGACAGGTCTGTTAAGTAAGACACAAAGTATGGTTAAATCACCGCTGGGGGAAAAGCTGTTTGTCAAAATGTTATTATTTCTTGATATGGATGTGCAAAATTTGCATTTACATTGGGACTGTTTCGGCTTGCTCCAGCAAAAAGCAAATATGCTCATAAACAAATGTAAACCTGTTCAGAATATCTGATGCCGGAGAGCCTCCTTCAAGCTAGATAGTGATGACAAAGAGATAATACAAAAGGAGCTGCTGCTATTCTTCTTCCAGTTTCCACTAAACAAGCTTTCCCCTTCTGGGCTGGGATCCAGCAGTTACTTTAGGCATGTTCAACTGAATGTTTAGTTGACTGGACCACTTGGGATTGCTGGCTCCTTTTTTGGAACAGCAGGGCCTTGGGCTTTATCCCAGATTACTTTAGCAAGTGCTCTGTGTTTCAAGTCTTGTGCTCTGCATCATTCTGGAGTGTGGGTTCTCTGAACTGCATCTGGCTGGGCCTGGTGGGAGTTTTAATCCAAAGCATCTCAAGGGCGCCAGGTTGGGGAAGGCTGACTGACAGGAAAATTAGGCATACTCACTGGGTGGTTTCTTGGCTGAAATATCTTCTCATGGCAAAAGCCACCATTGCTTTAAATAGGTATTCTTCATTAGCATCCCAAGTATACTGTAAAAAAAAACACACACACACACTGTTATGGATAGTGAGGCAGAGGGAGAAGATTTTATTGCTTTTCAGCTAACATGCTCATGAGGAACTCAGACTAGGTAACTACAACGTGCTGTGTATTTATTAGTTAAATTAGTTAAGTTTGTATCTGGCCTTCCTATCAAAAGCTGCTCTTATTACAAAGATAAAATCTGGAAACTTTAGCCAGCAGTTGCCTGTCACTTGTACATGAGAACTGTTTAAAGAGCTGATGGTTATGTTCCAGGCACAATTCCAAGTGCCCTTTTGGCCTACAAAGTCCTTAGCAAAGAAGAATAAGCAGTCAGGCTTGGTTTGAAGACATGCAGCAGAGGTGGAACATGTAGTTTGATCCTGAATCCCGTGATCACAGCTACATATTCTATTCTATTCTTCTAATATGGAAACTGGGCCACGGCTGCGGGGAGAGGGAGCAGACAATAACTGTTAAGGGTCTGGATTTGGCCAGGATATCACCAGTTGCCAATCTCTACTATGAAAAGAACAACAAAGAGCAAAACAGTGAATGCAAAAATGATTTATGTTTGAACATGTTACCTAGAAATCATCAAAGCATCCACATTTAATTGTGCAATAATTCAGATTAGTTCATTTGTAATTAAATGCAGTTTGAACTTAATGTATCTTTATATCCAATGTAATTTTTTATCCCGGTTAAAAATTCTCTTCCTTGTCTCTTTAGTTAGGAAGAATGATTTGTAATTTCTTAGAATTTCAAAATATTCCTTTTGTGTTCCAGTAAAGTAGGTTAGGTGCAGTAGACGAATGTACCCATAGCTATGAATGCTGATTCACTAGACATACAAAAGGGTTGCACATCTAGTGAATTGGTATTTTAATGAATTTCTCATCCTTAAATACAATATAACACAAATAAAATATTTCACAATGATTATATCACTGTTCTAGGTATTTAAATCTAGGTGGGGGGGCATCAAATTTTGACCTCACTCCCTACCCCCACATGACAAGGCAGCACTCTTGCAACCCACTTGGTATGAAAATTTGGACCACCCTGTCTTAGTGGCTTTCAATGCCATCAACCATGGTATTCTTCTGGAGCAGCTGTCTAAGTTAGGGATGGGTGGCACTACTTTGCAGTAGTTCTGGTCCTATTTGGATGGTCATTTCCAAAGGGTGATGCTTGGGGAGTGTTCTTAAGCCCCATGGAGCCTTCAGTGTGGAGTTCCTCAGGGCTCAATTTTATCCCCCATGCTGTTTAACATCTACATGAAACTGCTGAGTGGGGCCATCCAGAGTTGGGGGGTATGCTGATGGCACACAGCTCTACTTCTCCTTTACATCTGCAGGTGAGGCAGTGGAGGTGATGGACCATTGCCTTGCCCCAGCAATGGACTGGATGACAGCCAAACAAACTCAATCTAATAAGACCGAGGCACTGTTAGTGGGTGGTTCCCTAGACTGGATGGATGGGAAGTTGCCTGCTATTGCTGGGGTTACACTCCCTTTGAAGGAGCAGGTACATCGCTTGGGGGTATTCCTGGGTCCTTTGCTGTGCCTTTCATCAGCTTTGGCATGCGGCCCATGCCTAACTTTGGCAGTCTATGCTCTGGTAACCTCTAGGCTGGATTACTGCAATGCATTATACATAGGGCTGCCTCTGAAGACAGATCGGAAACTTCAGCTGGAGCAGAATTCAGCAGCCAGGTTGCTCACTGAGGGAAAATGCTTTGAACCTATTACACTCATCCTGGTTGCCAATTAGTTTCTGGGCCCAATTCAAAGTGCTGGTTTTGACCTATTAAGCCTTAAATGACTAAGGACCACAATACCTCAAGGAGCACCTCTCCTCATATAAACTATTATTCTACAACCTTTTACATGTGTTCGTGGGGGGGGGGGGGTTATAGTTTTGTTCTTGTTCTGTTTATTTGTACTTTTATTCTGAGATCCAGCACCAAGGGCCTTCTGGTGCTTCCCTCCCTGCAAGAAGTGAAGCTACAAGGCCTTCTTGGTAGTGGCGCCTACCCTGTGGAACTGGGAAATTTCAAGGAATTATTTCAAGGAAATAAACAACTACAGTCATACCTCGGGTTACAGACACTTCAGGTTGCGTTTTTTCAGGTTGCGGACCACCAAAACCTGGAAGTACCGGAACGGGTTACTTCCGGGTTTCAGCAGTCGTGCATGCGCAGAAGCGCTAAATTGCTCTTTGCGCATGCACAGAAGCGCCGAATCGCAACCCGCGCATGCGCACACGCAGGTTGTGAACGCTGCGGGTTGCGAATGTGAATCCCGCACGGATCATGTTCGCAACCCAAGTGTCCACTGTATCTGACTTTTAGAAGACATCTGAAGGCAGCCCTGTTTAGGGAAGTTTTAAATGTTTGATGTTGCTGCTTTTTTATTATTGTTATTGGTGTTCTGTTGGGAGCCGCCCAGAGTGGCTGCGGAAACCCAGCCAGATGGGCGGGGTATAAATCATAAATCATTCTTATTCTTATTATGTATTTTTATCTTGTGAACCTCCCTGAGATCTTTGGATGAAGGGCAGTATATAAATGTTAATGTTGTTAATGTTAATAAAAACAACTGGTATAGCTGACAGAGCTGCCTTGGTAGATTCAGAAGCATTGGGGCTTGTAGAGGGGTAGGTCCTGGTGAGGCTTCATATACAGGTTTGTCTTACAGAAGACAGCTGGTTATCCTTTCAAGTGACACCATATGGTATACATGCAACTGAACAAAAGCCGTTGTTTCCTTCTGTAGAAGAGATGTCTGAAGCAGCTAGAAGCTGACACAAAATACACTTACTCCAAAAGAGAGAGTTACATGACCACAGTATTTGATAACATTCATTTAATCCTTCAGTAGTCTCGACTGATGCAGCTGACAACCAAAATAAAGATTCAAGTAGGGTTTGACAGCCTCATAAACTGTGTGTTTCATACTAAGCGTAAGTACTTGAAATAGTTTAGAAAAGAATGACAGTCTGGAAGTCTGCTGTGGAAAGTGTGTTTGTTTTTAAAATGGATGAAAAGCATTGTATCTCCTCAAGCAGTGTTGCTCAGATCTCAAAGAAGGAAAGAAAACAATTTGTCAGAAAATTTACTGGATGGATAATTTCATAACTTTCATAGGCAAGCTTATATCTCTTTTACGACACAGTTAACACTAATTGGCCTCTTGTAAAACTTTCACCAGAAAAAGTGGATGTAAATATTTCACTTACTGCATTATCTCCTAGAGCTCTTTTGATACTAATCCTCACTTTGAAAGCATTCTCTGCACCTGTTACAAAGGAAAGGGATAAAGTAAAATGTACGTTCATGCACGTATAAATTAGTCAATGAAGCTTTGTTATTATCATTATTGCTCATATTCTGATTTTATCTCCTCCTTGTATTTTTATGTTGTAGTTCTATAGGTTGGTGTTAATTTATATTATTATCCCTGTTATGTTGAGCAAAAATACCTATAGCTGTCAACCCATCCTTTTTTAAAGGGAAATTCCCTTATTCCGAATAGGATTCCTCGCAAGAAAAGGGAAAAGTTGACAGCTATGAAAATACCCCACCCTTATATCGCAATGTGATGAAGGGCAGTTCAGAGATATTTCAAATAAATATGTTCTGAATGTATTTCAGGAAATAGAGACCCCCCCCCAAATACAATTACTGTACTTGGAACGTTCTACTGATGTCGGGGGGGGGGCGGGGATTTCCAGATAACTTTGCTTAGGATTCAGACGTAAAAGAGGAAAATCTGTACATTTGAATGCCACCCACACACCAACAAATTGTGGAGAAATCATGGACCACTTATACAGATTTGTCATTATTTTTCAGAGACCTGCCAACCAGTGTTGAACGATTGGTGACAAAGAGGATATTATTGGAAAGGTTCTGTGAATTGCCCCATCAGGATTCTCAGAGTTATTTTAACCCTAATAAAGGCACTCCCGATTGCAAGACAACCCAGTATCATTTCGTATTCAGAAATGGTTCTTCAGAAATCAGTCCCACTTCTAAGGCTTACTTCGAAGTATACATAGAACTACAGCCCTGGGTTTTCAATGTGCCAGATCGTCAAAACGACAGCGACTGAAGGTTAAGACATAAAATGGAATCTTACCTGGTTTGCAAAACTCAGGATATGCAACAGCAACCCAGGCAGATGCAAGCAGCAATCCCCCTAACATCCTTCCAGACTTGGAAACTTCAGGGAAAAACAAAAAAGACTGTAATGCAGTCTTAAACTTCAAATGACCCAGGATTAAAGCATCAGCAGAACTAGGAAATGATGAAGTAGAAAGTTTAATAATTAACCCCCTTTATCTTAACAAAAACAGTTGGGGAAGCATCCGTTTTCATCCTTTTATCTCTTTAGGTGCACCTGAATAAAGCAGGTAAGAAGTATTTTATTTTCTTTCTCATAACATTTCATATAATAAATATCCAACAGCTGAACATTTTGTCCTCTCAGTCATAAACACCACACACACACACACCACCTTATTTAAATGCTGGGTTTTTTAATCTGTTTTAGTGAATTTGTACTATACTGCCACACACGATCATAAATTGTGAAGGAAGTTACCTGCCAAAAGAATATGTCACGTAGACAAATAGCCTTGGATGGAAGTAAACGAAACAACCGGGAAGCAACACACTTGTCTAGAGAACTGTACTCTTCGACCTCTCATCTTGTCCCCAGCTAAATGGCCATACAAAACTTTCGCCCTGATTTTATGTTTGTTAGTTGTAAATATTTTTCAAAGGGTTTTGGATTGTTGTTGGCATTCTTCAGCATTCCACTGCGGTGACATAACAGGACCTCCTGGAGACCACGGGATATGAGAGGGAGAGAAAAACAATCCGTTTTGCATTGTAAAACTTGACAATTCAGCAGTCTGTAGGAGCACAGGTGGTGAACCTGTGGCCTCAAGATGCTGTGAACTGAAATTCTTACCATCCCTGGTCACTAGTCACGCTGTCTGGGAGGGATTAATGGAAGCTGGAGTCCATCAGCTTTTGGAGGGCAACATGTTCTTTTTGCCTGCTGGATGTCATCTGCTGCTTCAGAAGAAGTAGAAAGTATGTCTGCTTTAGAATATTGATGATCTCAGTCCCAAGCTGTGCATTACAGTAAAGGCTACCTGAACAGTCATTTTTATGTGAGGACATATCAAGGGAAAAGATGCTGTCTGCCCGCTCAATTTGAACCTGTGGCTACTGTACTCAGTCAGATACACACAATCACCAACAGGACACACACAACCAGCTGGCTGGAGGGCCCTAAGACTTAATGACTTTCAAAGGAGTGACTTTCAATTACACCATGTGACCGCAGTATCTCAAGGACCACCTCTCCCTACGCAAACAGACTCAGACCCTGTGATCGTCATCTGAGGCCCTTCTTTGTGTGCCTCCTCCGCGAGAGGTCCGGAGGGTGTCAACAGGCCTTTTCTGAAGTGGCTCCCCATTTGTGGAATGCTCTCCCCAGGTAGACTCGCCTGGTGCCTTCGTTACCTATCTTTAGGTGCCAGGCAAAAACATTCTTCTTCTCTCAGGCATTTGGCAAATTAAACAATCTATGGCCGTGTAAACTGTGTGTGTGGAGGGTGTTATTGCTTTGTTTGTTCTTATGTTATGTACGTTGGTATTTTTATAAACTGTAACCTGCCGTGTGATCCTTGGAGGAAGGATGGTATACAAATTAAACAAACAAACAAACAAACAAACAAATAATACAAACAATAATTTATGTATTAATTCTGGAAAGTGCTTGAAACTCATGTGTGTATGAGTTCTTTGGCTCTGTCTAGCTGGCCTTATGTGTAGTTGTATGGGGGGAAAACACCAAGTTCCAAGGAAATCACTGGGACTTCTCTGTAATGCAAAATTGTGTGTGCCTAGCATCATCTTGGGTAGCAATTGCAGACTAATTAACATATACTTGGAATTCTACTCTTTGAAAGCTTGGAGCATTTGTTGTTTACGCCAACGCTTGTAGCATATATACCAAAATAACCTCAGCTGAGGCTCAAGTTTACTTGCTTTTGTTTTGCATGGTGAAACTATCTCTGGAACAATATTGCTGGAATTTTTTTAACCATTCTTGTCACTCTCCCTTTCCTCCTTCGTGTACTGTTGGCATCTATCTGTATTGAGCGTCAAACGGCTGCGTTTGCAGCACTGAAGTGACCTCCCCTTGGCACAAGCCTGGACAGTGTGAATGGAGGTCCTGGGCTGCCCAGACAAGAAGACCCAACTCTCAACCTCAATGATGTGGTGTAAAGGAAATTAGAGCAATCCGTTTGGCACCAACTTGCCTGCAGGAGTTGCTGGAAGGAGGTGCATTCCAACCACATTAGGGATCTATTCTGGAATTGTGTAGGGTTTACTCCTTAGCTTTTTCTTTTTCCGAAGATATCGCACAAGGCAGTGGAGGTTTAGGATCAGAGTTTTCCTTCTCCTAGATAGGCTATCTTCCCACACTGATGAGCCTCATCTGCCCCTCACTTCCTTCTATAATGCAGAAACCACCTTCTTGACCATTGGAGCCACTATTGGCCACATCTGCTCAATCTGCTAGAACCTATCTTCCCATGCAGGGGAAGACCCTTACTCACTGAGGGTTTGAGACCCACCAGCTACCCTCACCTGGTTTAGGCAGCCAGTCAAAGCCGTTCCTGGGGTGTGGCTGCTGCCCCATGCTGACAGCTTCTGGGATCTACAGGTGAGAGCTGAGTGCAGGGTGGCAACCCAGTCAGATGGGTGGGATATAAATAAAATCATCATCATGGAATAGGACGTCCCTATTTTCATTGGAGAAATGTTGGAGGGTATGTAATTGTACATTCTACAGCGCGATATAATGAAGCAGTAGTTTAATGTTTTGGTTTTGGAGCTGAAGCCTCACGTACATGCTCATCACTCAGTGACTCCAACATCAAGGGATGAATTGCACGTGTGAAATAGCCGCTGCAGATCAAACACTGCAGACAACTCACATCTCTGTACTCTTCAATGGTGGCCACATTCACTTGTAAGTCATCCAGTACTCAAACAGGGAGCGATGTACTTGGCCCCAGATCATGATTCAGCACAGGAGGTGAATAGATTTACTCACCACTTCCTTCTGTGCAGAATAATCAGCTAGATGTGTGAAGGAGCATTAGAATGAGTTTCTCCTAACCATTTGCCCTAAGGTCACCAGACACTAGTTATGTGAAATTAGGGGCTTCTGGAGATGATGCCAGGCAAAATGGCAATTTAACAATGTTCTTAAAACACACACACACACACACACACACACACACACACAACTTGATCAGTTTCACAGTATTAAGAAGGGTGGAGTGCTCATCCAACACTGGTAAAAACAATGTCAATAGTTTTCCGAGATTTGTAGTTGTTGACTTCTCCCCCCCTCTCCCATCACCAAAGTAAACATGTTGCGGCTAGCAGCTAATCTCAGGATTAGCTGAACTTTGGGTTTCCGGGCTTCACAGCTTATAACTGAAGAAAAGCTTTGTTCCGGAACTCCACTCTAAAAAAGTTGAGTTGTTTTTAATCCATCTTTATACCCACCAGCTTCCATGATAAATTGTATAGGCGGTGCAATTTCCTTTTCACTCACTCCTTACAGCTTCTTAACCAGGTAGTAAATGTTGTTGATTGCATCTGAGTCGCAGCTGCTCTCTAATAAATATAATGAGATTTGGTAGGAGATGAAACATTCTGTTTAATATTCTTATGCTTTAAAACCCAAAACAGCAACAAGTGTTGTAGTTACTCATGCGGCCTGCTTCGGATGTCAGTGCAGGACAGGCTACTGCAAAGTAAATGATCACAGTTTATTTACACCTAGCAGGGGCTCATCCACACTGTGTTTGCAGCTGTTTGCGTAGTTCACATGACATTACCCTCAAACAACAACAATCTTGATGCTTTCCCCAAGCAAAATCAGGTTTACCAGATATGGAGATAATCTGATTGGGGAAACTGCGATAACAGAACATTTGTTTCAGTAGTTTTGGGTGGGTAGATCAGTTGTCAGACATTCTGTTTCCATGCCTCCTACTTCCTCAATGTTTCATTTCTTTCCTGGCTGTGTTTATAACTGTTTCCTGTGGCTCCTGAACTACATTTCCCCCCTCTGATCCCTCAGATTTGAACAAGGCAGAAAACTGCACTAGCAAACCACATTAAGAATTCCTACACCAGATACTGCATTATACAGTACTGCACAGCACAGCAAGTTAATCTGAAAAGCATGCACTGAGAAAACACAATTGCTTTTCATCTCCAGCGGTGCTGCTAACTATTCCTAGCACCCCTGAACTGAGCATTTCCCTCCTATTGATACCTCAGATTTGCACAAAACCAGAAACCTACACAAGCAAACTAATAGTGCACTTTTCTGGTTTTGTGCAAATCTGAGGGGCCACAGACCCGACCTCCTGGGAGAAGCATCTCTGACATATACTGGGATGGTGAGGCGGGGAGACAGCAAGAAGGCCAGGGCAGTTCAGGCACACCAGCAAGATTCAATCTGGTGCTGCTGCCGGAACACCCAAACTGAGCTGAAACAGCTGCTGCACCACTTATGCCAGAGATAGGGAACCTGTGGTCTGCCAAATATTGTCACACTTCAGACCTCATCAGTCCCAGTGAGCATGGGCAATGGATGGAGATGACAGCAGCTGGAAGCCAGCAACATTGGGGGGGGGCACAGGTTCTCCCTTGCTGGCTTATGCCAAGTTGGTTAGTTTTTCTCTTTAAATGACCTCATGCCTCTTTATTCTCTTCATCTTTATTTAGCTGTAAGGGACCCAAAAGGAGAAATAAGGACAACGTGGCAAAAACTCTTCTTTCTTTAGTTCCCTTTAAATGCCCAGGACAGTCAAAATTTTACTAGACGTTCATAGAAGTTAATTAATAGCTATGCACAGACCTCCAACTGTGTCAAATTCTGGGGGAGTTAATCACTACTGTTTTGCACTAAAAATTAACTTCCCTTGGCCAAGTATGTAAATATATTACTGTCCTGGAAGATTTTGGAAGACTTGTCTGGTAATTGCTTGACCCTTCCTAGTAAACTGAAAAGACAAGACAGTTGCAGCCAATTTCAAATGTGAAAAGAGATATATGATCCTTGATTGTGATTCTATCTTGTCTCCCATGCTATGAAACTGCTAGGCACAGATAGCCAGGGTTATGAGGGGAAGCACTGCCAGTTTTCTTGCCATCTGAATCAGGAGAGGCAGTAGATGTACTGTGGGCAGTGACAGACTGAACAAGGGCCAATAAACTATGACTGAACCCGGATAAGCTGAAGGTACTAGGGACACATACTGTCCAGGAAACAGAAAGACAGCCAGATTTGGTATGTGTAGCACCCCCGCTGAAGGAGCAGCTACATAGCGTGGGGTTTCTCCTTGGTTCACTGTTGTTGTTGGAGGTTCTGGTGATTGTGGTAGCAAAGAGCATCTCTTCCCAGCTATGGCCCTTCAAAGAACAAGACAACTTGCTATCCGTTACCTGGGTTCTGATGAACTCATTCGGATTATTACAGTCTGCCTACGTGGGGCTGCACTCGAAAACAAACTGGAAACTACAACTAGTGCAGAATGTGTCTGCCAAGTTATTAAGTAGGGCAGTGATATATGACCTGGTATCTCTGACCCTAAAAGTTCTGCATTGGCTGCCTCTGTACTACTGGGTTTCAAGGTGTTGGCAACTGTTTGTAGAGCCCTAAAAGACTCAGGGTCCAATTATCTGCAGGACTGCCTCCTCCTTAAAACTGGGGTGATGAGAGAGGCAGAGTGGTGACGCAGAGGCAGAGAACTCTGCTTCAGATGCCTGCCAGGATTCATGGCGAGAGGGTACAGAAAGGCCTTCTCTGTGGTGGAAACACAGCTTTGGAATGATCTTACCCTAGATTTTTTATTTATCTAGACATTTACTTTGACAATGAGATGTTTAATCCTTAGTAGGAGTTAGTGTTTTGATGACTGATGATTAGCAGTCCTAACAAAGTCTACTCAGAAGTCATATTGAATTGAAGACAAATGGGGTTAGAATTATTATTTTATTTTTAGCTTGTGTATGTTTTTATTCATTTTCAATGTATTTTGCCTTACTGCTTCTTGTATATGACCCTGAGCTCCTTTGGATTCATAAATACCATAAATTAATATTGCCAGTTGGAAGTGGTTTAGAACAACCCTGTAACACAGTTCTTTCGGATTATACCTCTTTTGCATGTTGGGGGTTAGTTATTTATTCTTTATTTACTCCCATTTTAATTCTACCCCTCCTCCTATGAGCTCAAGGCAGTATGCTTGGTTCTCCCACCCAACATGTGAAGTAGGTTCGGCTGAGACATAGTGATTCATCCAAGATCATGCAGTGAGTTTCATGGCACTGTGGGGATTTAAGGCTGAAAGAGTAGCATAAAACAACCTTGTAATGTTGCCCATTGTTTATATCCCCACAATGCAGGTTGGGAGGTCAGGTTGAGAAAATAGCATTCAACAACCCTGTAGTGTTGTCTACTGCTACCATAGCCCTGTTGTAACTGGGGAGATAACCACTGACAAGAGTGTGTCTTTGAACAGGAGGCAACAACATAGCGCAATCAACACTGCAGGTCAGAGGTATGGTTGGTATGGATTTTCAGCCCAAATCCCTGCATACAAAACAGCCCACAGGTTGCAGCAAAAGGCAATTTATTCAACTTCCCCACCCCCAATCTGAACATAGCTGTCAACTTTCAGATTTGAAAATAAGGGATCATCAGCCTCAACTGTCCCGGGGACAGTCTACGGGATATCTGGGATATTTAACAATCCGGGGATAGCAGTGGGAAGCAGCGGGAAACGGCGCTGGAATAAGGGAATTTCCCGCAAAAAAAAGGGAAGGTTGACAGCTATGAATCTGAAATCCTGCATTTAACTGCATGCAAAAGGCTTCCATGCACACGGACGGGCGACTTGAAAGGGCAGCATTCATGGGTGTCGCCAGGTTTTTTGTTAGGGGGCAGGCTTCTGTTAGGGGGACAGGACCTCATATGTTTATTGATTTTTATTGATGGGGGGGGCAGCTACACCCATGGCTGCATTCAACTACTCAAGACTACACCTTAAATTAGAGGACACGACCTTAGATTCTTTATGTCAACAGGAGATATTCTGAGTAGGACTAAGGGCTCCTGTCTTTGCTTCTGTCTGCAGCCTTCAAGTTTTTGATTCCCCCACTGATTTCTATATAGACAATTCTAGTTCCACCCCGGGGAGAAGAGTGTAAAAAAGAAAAAGGCGTTTGCAAGCAAGAAACTTAAGAGATAGTCTACTTCCCTATGCCTTGCCTCTCTAATTCAAACCCCGCTTTTGCATTGTGCACTTGAAGTGAGTGCAGGAAGCCCCTTCCAACCCCAGAGCAGCAGGAAGCGACTGTAAAGGAGGCGCTGTAGAATCCAACGCTTTCTACGTTTCTTAGCTTCAGACCATTCAGCTCCGGCATCAAACCTGGAAGTGAGCTGACGTCACGTCCGGCGGTTCCCCGTCACGTGACTGCCTTAGAAACTGTGGAACATGGCGGCGCCCGTGTCTCCGCCGTTGGTGGCGGAAGAAGGGCCGGCGAAAGTGAGGTAAGGAGGGCTCTGCGGAAGGGTCTGCTCCCCCTTATGGGGAGCTTCCCGCACGGAGGGGAACCGGAGGGGGCGCGCGCTCGCTCGCTCATCCGCTCGCCTCAGCTCCCGGTCCCCACACGTGGCGCTTTCGGTGATGAGGCAGCTTGCCACCCCACCCCCCGACCCAAGCATAAGCTGGGCTGCTCCTGCCTCTGGTAGCGGAAGGTTGAGCTGGGCTTCATAAGGGCGGGAAGGTTTCTGCAGGAGCCGCTGGGAAGCCTGACATGCTGCGCGTGCCTCAGGTGCTGCTTAGCTCCGAATGGGTGGGATTAAAGTGTACCTGGGGGAAAGCCATGAGGCAGGCAGATGTCATTTGTTGTGATGCGAAGGAAGGGGGGGGCGCGCCGCGGGGAACGTATAGGTAAGTGGTGAGCTTTGAAGCATCGCTGGGGCTTGAAGCGAACGCAAAACCCTTAATGCTTAGTGAAATTGCGAAATCGTTATGCCTATATAGAGAAAGGGTCACCGATCCGATACAAGAAAGTGAGAAAAATAATTGCCCCTTTTATGTGGATGTCTTTAGGCCTTTGGTATGCAGTTAAAAAGACACCTGAGGCTATGCCAACTGTTGCAAACTCAACAGTAAAGAAGTGTTAAAGGAGTACAGTACAGTAATGTCTTCTTAAGGATTGGCACTGGGAAGTTTGGTACATTTTAAAACAAAGACATTGTACTTATATAGTTGGTTGGGGAACTGCTGTTGAAACATTTCTTAGACTGGATAATTTGTATACATTTTGAACTAGAAATTGTATAGAACTGACAATCTGTGCCCAGTTTTTCTATCTTTTGCTTATTATTTGTTTTGTATTTTCCTCTATTTCTTGGTTGGAATAATAAGCTTGCATTCTTTCTTTCTTTTTTCCAAAAAATGTTTTGTAGCAAAATATTAAAACAAGTAAATTTAAGTGTTTACAATTCAACTTTAACATTAATGGCTGCAATCCCAGCAGCCTTTGAACTTTGAATAAATATGCGTAGGATTTTGCCACAAAAGAACCAGTTTACAGGGCAATCTTACACATGTCTTCACCAAAGTCCCACTGGGTTTGTTGTGATATACTTTTCAGTTTGCATTTCTTAGTGCGGAAAGTATTGATCTGATGTGTAGAGATCTTTCCTATTCTAATTAATTCAAGAGGGTTTTGGGGGCTTCTCTGTGTGAAAGAAAAAAGCAGGTGGTTTGTGATTATTCCTTCAGAAAAGCTGAGTACAGCTGGCTTAAATTCTTATCTCTTCTGTCAAGATTATGATGACTACATAAATAGGACAGAAGGAGCCTAGGTTTCACTTTCTCTATCTCTTTTCCTTCTGGTGTGGTGTTCTGTACATAGTATGCTTGGTGTTAAGGTTTAGACTTATAAGTTATTCTGAGTTTAAGTTAAGTCTGCTGCAACTGGATTTCTTATGGACTACGTTCAATCCTGAATGTATTGGATTTGTGACCATTATGCTCATTTGCCTTCAGTAGCAGTAAAGCTTTGCTAGATGAAATAATTGTCTCTGGTCTATTTTTGGGGAATCCTGCAACGTGTTTTAAGTTTTTACTTGGCTAACTATACATCGGAGTTCTGCTCTGGATCATATTGAGTAGAATTCCATGGCAATACTATCGGAAAAAATAACATTTGTTTGTTGTTTTAATCCAATAAGAAAACATTGTTATAAATGTTTGTATGCTCAACACTTGAGAAATCCTAGTTGACTGTTAGCTGGCCAATTACTACAAAAACAAAGAAGAATCTTTTTTCCATTTTCAGCCACAAAAAGTACAGAGCCCTTTTGAAGAAAGAGAAACGGAAGAAAAAGAGACAAGCACTAGCAAGACTGAGAGATTCAGGTAAAAGCTAAGTTGATGAACGGCACAGATTACTTGTGAAATATAAGCTAAATTTCAGCTCTCAGAAGATGGTTGTCATTGGTATTCAAAAGTGTTTAAAATGTTGTTTTAGATTGAAAATAATAGGTAATTGTATTTCATTACTTGTCAACAAGGTTGCAGCCTCTTCATCTGATCATAGGTTGGGAACTGCAATTCATGACTGTGGCAATCTTGAGAACATAGGCTCTATGCATGCACTGGTGACTGTCTTGGACCTTAGATTGTGTAGAATGCAGTGGTTTGCCTCATGGCAAGGCTAAGCTATCTATATTATATATTTTTAAAGAGGTATACTTTTTTCTCTTCAGAAAAAGGAGAGAAAGATGAACAGGTTTCTGAAAAGCTAGAAGATGACGACCTAGATGATGAAGAAAAACAACTCGAAGATGAAAGGTAAATTAAAATTACCGTATTTTTCGTTCTATAACACGCACCCAACCATAACACGCACGTAGTTTTTAGAGGAGGAAAATCCGTAGGCATGCCACCCGTAGGCATTCCCTCCATAACACGCACAGACATTTCCCCTTACTTTCTAGGAGGAAAAAAGTGAGTGTTATGGTGCAAAAAATATGGTATATATAATTGGCAGCTGTACTCTATGCATATTTACTTAGAATAAAGTTCCAGTGGCTGATATGCAATGAAATGTGATGGAACAAGAGGATGCCCCTATGCTATGTTAACATTGCTTAGCTAGCTCAACAGACCAAATGCAAAGGTGGTGGGTTGGATCCAGACTTCACTTCCACCTTCTTGTTGGCAGAGGTGGGGTGACTTTTGCCAATTCCGCCCTCCCCTTCCAGCCCACTGCTGTTGTGCAAGTGAAGTGTAAAGTTGCAGTGTTTAATTGCCTGTTTTAGGCCATGGTCCCAAAGTTTGAGGAATTACTCTGCTAAATAGTCTTGAGGCTGCAACCCTATGCATAGCTATCCAGGGGTAATCTCCATTTAACATAGTGCTTTAAATGCCAAGTAAACATGTATAAGTTAGCACTGTATGAATTGGAGCCTGTGCCCCCTAGCTCTTCTGAGGCCTTTCTTTAGATGTCCGTCTTTGAAGATTAGCTGAGCAACTACACAAGAGAGATCCCTGGAATTCTATTCCCAGGTTGCTTAGTCTGACATCATCATTATTACCTTTTAGACAGACACCAGGCTATGTTTCCCCCTGGGTGCCCACACTCTTATTAGTAATTAGCTTATATGGCTTAGTCATGCTGCTGTTACTTTACTGCTGTGCTTTTGCTATTTTAACAGTACTTAATTTGAATATTACTATTTTAAATAGAAAGGCAGAATTATTATTTTTTTAAGAAATAAAAACATAGTAAGTTTGATGATATTCAATGATAACCCAGCATTCATCGGATTCTATTTGCAGGCAGAGGCTTCATGAGGAGTGGTTGCTGCGAGAAGAAAGGGCACAAGAAGCTTTTAAGATCAGGAAAGCAAAAGAAGAGGCAGCAAGAAAACGTCAAGAAGAGGAAGAGGTGCAGTATATGTTTTGACTACCCTTTTGGAGCAGACATTCTAAACATAAAAATAGTTACTGAGGTCTTTATTAAAAAAACAACAACACCAAAAAGCAATGGTTGTGTGAGAGGACTTCTCTCTCCAGCCACCCACCACCTCCATCTGTCTCTGCTCTGGAAAACCCTGCAACCTGCTGGAGCAGGGTTGCTGGAGGAACTGCAGGGGGGGAATGAGAACCAATTCTGTCAGAGGTGACTTTTCCACTGGCAGATGGACAGTGTTAGATTTCAAACCTTCGTTTTACCTTGGACTAATTTAGGAAAACACAGCACTAAAGTATAGTGGTTAAGGTTGGCTTATTTCTGGGAAAGTTTTCATCGATGGTTGGGAGGCTGATTTTAAATGCTGAGGGCAAAGTTGGACTTTTAAGGCTCGTTCAGTTCTGTGTTAACTGTAATCTGCAATGAAGGGGGGCGGGAAGAAGTTTACACACACCTAATGACCTATGTTGCTTTTTTCAGTATCTCAAAAAAAGTAAGTGGCAAATTAGTTTACATTTATCACTTAATGGTTAAAGCAAATAGCAACTAAAATTATTTTATTTGTTCAGCCTTCATGGAGATATTTAGCATAATGCCAGTCTCTGTTTGTTTTTTAAAGCAAAGAATAAAAGAAGAATGGGAGGAACAGCAAAGGAAAGAACAAGAGGAGGAGGACCGGAAAAAACAAGTGAAGAGAGAGAGAGAGGTGATTCCTGCTCTAGGAGGATAAAACACAGTGCATATCCTCTTACAGTAATAATAGGACTAAAAAAAAAGTACAAAATGACATAGTGTTGGGACACGAGGGTTGAAAAGTTTTTCTTTCTGTGCTTCTGCATAACGTTGTAAATGGAACATGCTATGAATAAGTGAGGCTGCAATGCTATACCTGCTTACTGGGAGTAAACCCCATTGAATTCAAAAAGATTTACTTCCGAGTAGACATGTATAAGAAAGCACTATAAATGTAGATGCACCTTTTGTTATTCAGGGCAGCATATAAGTTGCTAATATTATCGCTGCAGTATCTTGCCTTATTCCTAAGGCTCCGGGCAAATGCTTGTTATTTTTCATTGTTTTTAAAAGGCACAGGAAACAGAATGACAAAATAGAATCTCCCCTGAAATGTTCCATGAATGCTCCCAAATATTTTGTGCCCTTTGGCAGCCTGCTTCACTGCCGCTGGCAATTGTGATTACACTTCATGAGGGAGAAGGGACACAAAACTCTCAGCAGCTATTCATACATTCGTTGGTAGCTGCCGCCAGGCTATCCTTCCCTGCAGTTCTGCAACTGGCAGAGGGAAGGGTTTCTTGTGACTATTGGGCCAGTCCTCACACAGAATTATTGTTGGGAGGTTCTGGGCACAAGCTATGAATTCTTATGTTTAACTGTAGTGTAATCTCTCTAAGAAACTGTAGCAAGTATACGTACACTAACTTCTTTTTACAACTTACGTAACTTCACAAGTAATTTTACTGCTGCGATTCCTTAACCATTTTTTCCACTCAAAGATGTTACAGCTCATCTTTACCTGACTCATTCATCAAGATGTATCTTTTTCTATAGCTTGCTGGGTGTGGGAAGGAACATAATATAATGCTTTCGGCTTCTTGTAGGTTAATTTGTTGAATGCCTTGCTCAGCATATAGAGAGCAAATGGTGATCTTAATCATGGAATTGTAGAGTTTGAAGGCACCCTGAGGATCATCTAGTCCAACCCTCTGCAATGCAAGAATATTCAGCTGCCCCACATAGGGATCAAACCTGCAACCTTGGCATTATCAGCACCTTGCTCTAACCAACGGAGCTATTCAGGCCCATGATTTGCCTCTTATTATGTTAGGATTTAACTGGTCCAGAACAAGATCAAATGAGATTATGAGACGGTTTTAGTTGACCAGCAGTTTGTGTAATGTATAGATAGCAACCTTGACTGAGTACTCCTCCTAGTATCTTTTGAAAGGAGATGAAATTGTGGGAAACTGTCCATTCCTTACTACTTCAGCTAAAGTATGATGTTGAGGGAAATTGCCACTTTTAGCTTTGATGGAAGTAATAATTTTATTTGATTTTCAAAACTTATGTATCCCACTCTTCATCCTAAGACCCCTGTCATTTTATGTCACTACGTAAATGACAAATTTACCATGAACTAGAAACCATCTATCAGTTTCTTTAAAATCTAGGTGTTCCTCTACATTGAAAAACCTGACAAAAAGGACATGTCTTCAGCTGGTGCCTGTAGCTAAACAATGTTGCCACCAGCCAAATTTCTAGAAGCATGTTCTGTAGCTGGGATGCTATTTCTAAAGATGTTCATTTACTGATTCATCAGCCTCCAAACTTTCTTTGATATGGGGAAAAGTGCTGCCTTAGATAACCGGGTCCCAAGCTGTTTAGGGCTTTCTGCAGCAAGACTGGAACCTTGAATTGGGTTTGGCAGTTAATTGGCAGGCAATGCAGATCTTCAATTGATATTATATGGTCCCTAGGCAGCATACCCAACAAGTCTCTGGTGGCTGCATTTTGCACTAGCTATATCTTCTGAACCACCTTTCAGGGCTGCACCAAGTTGAATGTGTTTCAGTAGTTTAAATGGGACAGGGTGTACTCCTGGATTCTACCTTGTCTACCTTCCAGACAAGGTAGAATCCAGGAGTACACCCTGTCAGTGGTCCTGATCTTTCAGAGGGAATGCAACTCCATCCAGAACAGGCCACCTACCAAATTTGTGAACTCAAACAGTGGTGGAGCTTCATGCTCCGGCACCGGGGGGAGGGGGCAAAGAGCAGGCGGGGGCGGGGCAGGCGTGTGTCCTGGGGTGGGGCACGCCGCCTGCGGGGGGCGCCCAGCGCGTGGGGGGACGACCGTGATGGCACCCTGCCAGGATCGCGCTGCCGGGGGCGGGGCGCTCCCCCTGCACTCCTCTTCCTTTGCCAGTGTTCAGAAACCATTGTGCCTCCTGCTTGTGAGAATTCAGCTTCAGTTCATTGGCCCTTATCCAGCCCATTACAGCATCTAGACATTGAGAAACCAAGGGGGAAGATGTACACTGGAAATCAGTGCAAGTTGACAAGCCAAAACAAGTGTGTGTATGTCAGGGGAAAGATATTATTGCTAAACTTAGGTGACTGGGTTCCTAAGGCACTCCTTTCTGGTAGTCCAATAGAAAACCCAAAGCTGTTTAATAATTCTCCTTACTCTATTGGAAGCTTCCTTTTTGCAGGCTGAACTTTCAGTACGCTGGTACCCAGTTTCAGTATGCTGGTACCCAGCTTGAATACATACTGGGGCACTGAACTCTGGTTACACAGATATGATAGGGACTCTGTCCCTCTCAAAGACACCACTGCATTGGTGGCAGCAGGTGGACCTGGGTGTGTTTGACCTTCTGGACATCACTGAGTAAACTGTTTTAAAACCAGGTTCTAGGCACAATCTTCACAGCAGAGTCTTTGGCATCAAATCCTTCAGGAGAAAATTCCATGCGATAAGAATTGGATGGTGAATCTGGGCCACTTAACTCAAATAGAAGTTGAGAAAAGTCTTCAAAAGATGTATGCCTATGCTAAATCACTTGCAGGACTGGGCTGCTGTCTTTATTTGACTTGCAGATACTTGAAAATTGTAACAATATGGTAATATATTTTAACCTTCAGTTCTGTTTGCTCTTTAAGCTCTTTGTGTCAAAATTTTGGAATTGTGTCAAATAATGGGGGGAATTATTTAAATGTAACTAGAATGTTTTCTACATTTTTCTTTGGGCATTCTTAGTAACATGGAAGCTTTTTCCAGTTTTATTTGACAAAACTAACAGAACATAATATAAAACCTGAATATTATGGTCTTGACTGAAGAAACCAGATGATGTCTCCATTCAGGGTTTTCACTAGTCCTATGTTTGCACCATTTATAGGAAGCTGTGCAGAAGATGTTGGACCAGGCTGAAAGTCAGGTATGTTTAGAGCTTTTGAAAATGGATCACTGAGCTGCTCTTCTTTCTGGAGAACAATGGCAGCTTGTTCTTTCATATGGGTTATGTAATTAGCTTGGATCGTGCCATACGTCTCTCTTTAACAGATTATGCCATTCCTGACTCAGGCTTGCCCTGCAGCTTGCTATGAATTTTGCCAAGAAGAACTAGACTGTGTGGACCTCATCCTGGTCCAAAAAGATGCTTTCTATTTTCTTAAGAATATGTGCTGAAAATCAACATGGAGCTGTTCGGTATCAGTCATTCAGAGATTTAATGCGCTCCTGATATATAATTTTTTAGAGCTGATGGACCATGAAGATGCTCATAAATTTGCTGGTGTGACTGAATTAGATTCCTGTGCTTTAAAGTCTCTCTGAAGGTCAGAGGAGAGGGATTGTACAGGTTCTAATGGTACAGAAAAGGTGTTATTCTCTTTGGAAAGAGAGTTGCCTTCTGCAGTGCATAAATGCAGTGCCCAGAAGTATTTTAGCACTCTGCATACTCTCAACAGCACTTGCAGTTGGGCTACAATTCTATGCTCATTTTCCTGGGAGCAAGTCTTGTTGAATTTAGTGGGATGTACAAGGCCTGTTGAAGCTTACTGGGATGCCTAACAAAAATTGTTCAGTATATTCAGTGTACAAGTATGCAAAGTTTCACACTTGTAAGTCAAAGTGGGTTAAACCTCTCCAGTCTTTTCTTTGGTCTAGATTTCAATATTTAAAGCAGACTTTAGTATTTCCCTAAACCGTACAGTGACGTTCTATTTCAGTGCTAAGATTGTTTCTTCCCACAATCTTGCAATTATAATCACTCCTATTTTCATAGATAAATTGAATTTATTCATGACCAGTATTCAGTTTGTTAACATATAGAATGTTCTTCTTTTCTATAAAAAAAATCCAGGTAGAAAATGGAACCACCTGGCATAATCCAGAGCCCCCAGAGAATATGGGACGTGAGAAAGATTGTGCCAATTGCCCGTTCTATATTAAAACTGGAGCTTGCAAATTTGGAGACAGGTAATTCAGTTCTATATGGGCCTTTTAAAAATATGACTTGCATTTTATTTTGCTGGGAATCTACAGGTGCATTACTGTTTCAATACTTCAGTTTAGCTCTCATTTTCACACAGTGATAGGAAAGAGATTTCTGCTGTTTCTTGTTCAAAAGCCTGTGAATGGAAACACCTTCCATTCATGGACGGGAAAATATAGGATCTAAGTCGCCGTTTCTTGAACTGTTCCATTTTAAATGAAAGATCTAAATAACTGCTACTGCTGCTTGTATTAAAGCTCTAGTTTTTAATTTCCCTCACTGCATATTAAGCCCATAAAAATTAGGAAAGAAGGACCGGCATAGCTAAAGGAATAAATGATGGATGAGACAGAATTGAGCCTCTTCAAAGTCTGAAGTTAATTATAGCTGTTGGAGAACTAAAATCTATGTTGGTGCTTGTGTTTTTAGCTTCATTGCAAATGCAACCTAGATTCTGAAATTGAGAATCTGCGTTCAGGGCCAGATTAATAGAGTTTTTGGCAAAAGAGAGATCTATCCACCTAGGTAATTCACACCAAAGTACGCCTCCGGCAGAAATGGTGACTCCAGAAAGCCCAAATGCTTGTCCCCATGCTAGCTAACTAGACCTGGGGGGAATGTTACTTTCACAAGTCACAACTGAGACATCAGACAAAACTGCAAGCTAGTTTTGGTGAATTTGTCTACAATGCATCCAGCTTTGTACTGAATTCTTTGCTTCCCCAACTTTTTCAGACAGATTGCTTGGGTCAAGAGTCTACAAGTTGCACGTTATGAAATAGAATTGGGCAAGAATACAATGCATTATTTCAATTTTTATGCACTTCTTTTATAGAACTGTTTGTATGGTACATAACGGATCGTAATTTGGCCATGGGCTGAATGCTCCCCATGCTCAGTCTATACTAACCTAAGTTTATGAATTCAAACCTTATAAGGTGCCTTGAGAACTTTTTATCGGATTGCCTATGCATATGAGGGACTAAGTATTTATGCTAAAGTGCATAATATATGGTTGCATCTTAAGCAGCTGGAATAAGTTCTTTCTTTCTTTCTTTCTTTCTTTCTTTCTTTCTTTCTAAGATGTTCACGGAGACATAACCATCCAACCTCTAGTCAGACACTCCTTATTAGGGGTATGTTTTTCACTTTTGGGATGGAGCAGTGTAAAAGAGATGACTATGACACAGATGCAAGCCTGGAGTACAGTGAGGAAGAAATGCACCAACAGTTCCTAGATTTCTATGAAGATGTACTTCCTGAATTCAGGAATGTGGGAAAGGTTATTCAGTTCAAGGTAAAACGCAGAATACTGTTTTGCTATTCCCTTAGGTAATTGCGGGCTGAGATCCAGTGTAATGTTAGTGCAAGAAATTTGAGAGCTGATGTTGGGCAAGTGGTAGCCCACAAGCTTGAGGTATCACCAAGTATCATAGTGGTTGTGCTTGGGGTCTCACAACAGCTTTTGCAAACACAAGACACTCACTGTAACTCTTGTGCTACTCCAGAACAAGGCTTATGCTAGTGGAATGACTGTTGTGTGAATGGACTGTCACATTTGGATATCATCCTAGGCATTCCTAATGTCCCTTCGTATGCAGATGTGGAGAGTAAAAAATTGGGGAGGAAGCAGTTAGACCAGGATCTCTACCATGAAACACACTGTGTGTTTGTGTATTCAGTGGGGGTGGAGTCAGAACAAGTCCCTCTTAATTCCTTAGTTTTTCACACATTGCGTTTCCATTTTGGCTTCATTGTTGTTAAATAAATCATGACATGGTGTAATATGTCATGTGTTGTTATTCATCTGAGGTTGCATTTTTCAAATCTTAAGACCTGCTAAGGAACAGATGGTTGTTATTATATCCCTATATGTAAAACCACAGAATTCAAAGAGGGTGTTCTTTTCTTTTTCCCATGACTGTATAACCCATTAAATCAAGGAAAAAGTAACACTTCTTACTTGGCGTTATGTGAGAGCTGTTTTGGAATGTGCAGTTGACGAATCACAGACAATGTTAAATATTTATAGCAATCGTAGTTCATGGATTTCACTTACACAGCACATTGTTCTTCAGGAAGATGGGCCTAATGCAGTGTGGGTTAGCCACACTGTGTGCCAGTTATTTATGTCAAAAATCTAGCTGAATCCTGAAGTGTGTGTTGGTTAGACAGAAGGGCTAGGTATCAGTTCTTGATGGTGACAAGACAAGCATTTGAATTTGACATACCTAGAACTTGAAAATATTACCTACATTCCAAATTGAATATAGCCCCCCCTCCCATGCATTTGTTACCCAGTCAGCTTGCTCAGCTTGGGGTACAATAATAGGGATTCCACTTGTGTGCGGTTTTTAACATGAAACTAAAACAAGTAAGACATAACAACAACAAAACAACATGCCATATTCTCTGCTCCCCCACCTCCCTAGCCCTCAGTGGTACAGTTAGATTACAAATCCATTAAGAATTATTATGCTTATCAGTTTTGTTTCATTGTGCAACTTGGAATAATTGGAAGTTCGGGTGTTTTGTTTACCCACTCCACTGGAGATAAAGATCATCAGCTTGTTGCCATGTGATTTGATGTTCATATATCAATGTTATGATAGCCATATCTGTCATGGGATGGGTGATAATCTGTCTGTCCTGTGATTGTTATTAATACATGAAAAAAGGCCACTAAACCATGAAAGAAAGTGCATTTTGTGTGCTATAATTAAATAAGGTATCTTGTAAACCACTCAACTAAAGCAGCTGTGTAAGGATACAAAGAAACTTCACTTCCTTAAGTTTTTACCTGCTTTTGATATAGGTGAGCTGCAACTTTGAACCTCATCTTCGAGGAAATGTTTACGTTCAGTACCAAACGTAAGTATTTAAAATTTAGTAGTTGGTAAACTGAATGAGAAATCATAAGGAAGGCTTATGTGGTATGGGTGGGTATATTGGTAAAGCTCTTTCCCAGGAAAGATGGCTAATTCTCCATGTTGATGCAATATCACTTGATTGAATTGTATTGCTTTTATGAGGTTCTAATAATATTTTTTTATTTTTAAAGAGAACAAGAATGTCAGCAGGCTTTTGCTTTATTCAATGGTCGATGGTATGCAGGTCGGCAGCTTCAATGTGAATTTTCTCCAGTAACAAGGTGGAAAACAGCTATTTGCGGTAAGTCAGTGAAAACCTTCAGCTCTAACAGCTAGTATCTTTCAGCCTAAATGTCTTTCATGTTATTGAATTATACATAAATTATAATTTTAAAGTGAATGCAACTGATAGGGTGTTGGCCCTATCGACACATTGGATAATATCTTATTTGAAAGACCCTGTTCTGCATTAAGTAATAAATAAGTTTCCACACCTTTGAGTACATCAGGAGAAATCATGTGTATTCAAACCCACCATGCTACACCTTGGCATCACAGGATTAAGTATTTCCTATATTCAAAAATACAATTGTGAAACAGGGATTTGTACATATATATACACCACACAAGAATAGCACCTATGAGAGATGATGCCAGGGCCCAGCAGTAGCAGCTGTTTATGAGTCAGTGCATTTGCTAGAGCTGCTGGCTTCCACGCCCTGAATATGGTTCACTGATACCTCTGGTAGGGATGCCTGGGCCACACTGAGCTGTCTGATACAAGTTGATGGGCCTTCCGCTTGACTGCTGTGTGGTTAGACAGAAGCAGATATCGCAGTTGCTAGAATACACCTAAAAGTGAACAAGATCATATATGACTGATTCAAACTTGCCTTTCTGTTGGGCAAGTTGCCTTTACCCAAAGCTCTTGCTTTTTGTCCATGTGATATCAAGATAAGAGGCAATATCTAGCTGTGACTTCCAGCTTAGGCAACAGACTTCTGCTTGCACCAACGGGATTTGCTCTTCCTCTCCTGCACCACCTTAAAATTTGCAACGGGGACGGAATCCAACTGTGTCTTCAAATGCAACATTGATTTCCTAGTTATTAAAACGAGACATGATCCACCCCTTTCACCCATACATCTGTGATAAGAAATATCGTGCAGATAAAAATAAACATAGAAGTGTCCACTGAGTCTGTTTAGCTTTCAAAGGTTATAATTACGGTTGTCTTCAGACTTTGATAATCAGTTTCAAAATTGGTTTTCAGGTTTGTTTGAAAGGCAAAAGTGTCCAAGAGGGAAGCACTGCAACTTTCTTCATGTGTTCAGAAATCCAAACAATGAGTTCTGGGAGGCCAACAGAGATATTTACAATACCTCGGAATGGACCAAAGAGGCAAGTAAATATTCAGAAAGGAGAAATAGAGCGGGATATCATGAAAACTATTATAGCAGGTCAAGAAGAAGAAGTAGTCAAAGTCCAGATCACGCTTACAGCAAAAGAAATGGAGACTCTGAAAGGGAAAAGAGTTATCACAAACGTAAGAAAAGACAATTTCCTGAGAGGTCACGAAGTCGTGGAAGGCGACGGTCACGCAGTAAGAAGAGGCGAGGCCGGAGCCGCAATAGGAGCCCAACACGTAGCAGAAGTTCCTCTCGGTCGAGAAGTCGAGGTAGAAAACGATCCAGCAGCAGAGGCAGAAATAGTTGAATTTGTTGCTGAACTACTTTTCAAGATACTTGTGGATATAAAAATTTGGTGCTTACCAGAGCTGTTGCATACTAGAGACTTGCCTGTGCCCTAGAAATAAAGCTGATGTGGGCTATCTTTATTTTTGGCGATGATTATTTAAGGGTGAGAATACATCTCACATCTTCAAAACTTGTTTACCCAATTATTTGTTAATTCTGTCATGGAAGTCTGGTGTTCTTTATAACCCCCCCCCTCATTCTAATGTAAACAGTGTACCATAGTTAAGCAATTGTGCCAAGGTTCTACCTATCTTTTTGTTTAGAAATTTGTAAATAAATTCAGTGCGTGATTTTGTTTCTTAAAATGCCAAAATAACTTTTTGGTGGATAGGATACAAAAAGCCCTTTTAAAAATTATTTAGAACTGTTAGGGCTAAGGTGGGGGCAACACTAACAAGGCATGGTTTTTACTCTGCAGCGATCCTCCTTTGTTTGCATGTGAAATGTTTTGGTACACCAATTTAGGGAGTAGTTCAAAACAAGCAACTTGGCTAATGTGTTTTGGTCTGAGTACAAGTGGAAGGCAACAAAGCACACGATAAAACACATGTATACATAATCACATCTTTCTGGATCAGCACAAGCTACTCCAAAGTGTAAAATACAGCTCTTATTTCAGGGGGTATTGCTAGGAACAAATGAGCTGCTGTGTGTGGAGTCAAGAGGCTGTGTTTTATACTGTATTTTTTTCTTGCTTGTGAGTATAGGAAAAGTTTAGTATTACTGGCCTCTGAAGACGTGTTTGCTGTTCTGATATTGGAATACAGATCCAAAGCACTAATGTGCATCCTCTTATATAAGACAAGTTACTGAATTGGGAAGTGGGTTGCCCAGTTTTAGCCCTGCTTCAGACATCTATTCTTAGCCATATGGATTCCTATAATAATTTCTTGTAGTTTGCAGGATCCACCTGGAACTCTCTTCTAAACTTCAGATCCCAAGTCATGTATCATTCAGATTAAAACACTGTGCAAAAGCATAGCTCTCAGGTGTTTTAGTGCAAGATGTTTAGCAAACATCAGCCGCGAGCAGACAATCTCTTTTTGGAATGTGGGTTTCTAGAAGTTTAGCCAGGGGTAAAAAATATTAGGTTGAGGGGAGTTTATGTGAAAGTTATTGAAAGCTGTTTGCCTAGAAGCATGGTTTTCTGGTGCCTGGAACTTACTGCCAAAGGGGTTTACATAAGTCCTATTCAGCTGTCTTATGTGATTACAATTCCGAAAGGGCAGAAAGCAGGAATGTGCTTCCTGATTCTGCTCCTTCCATCTCATCATATTTGGCAGTGGGGAGCTGCTGTAAGGTAAGTTATTTGTGCAAGTTACAGACATAAATGTATGCAGAGTTCACATATAGCAGTTACCCAAACTACATGAAAGGTGTATAGACTGAGCCAGGAACTGAAATCCTGCTCCATTTCCATGTGTAACTGTGAGCTGGATAATGCTACAATGCAGGTAACCAAGAACTGCCACAAATAGTTTACAATAGATTTGAAGAGCACTTTAAATTAAGGTGATGCTGCCATCACACTTTTTAAAGGTATAACAGGCTTCTGGGTCTATGAGAGGCACATACTGAGAATAATTATTTCTGTATATTACATCACCAAAGAGGATTACTGGTATTTTTTATTCATTTAAGGTAGACACACCACACCACGAAAAGTACAATTTTGGTATAGTGTATTAAACTACCCTGAGTTAATCTCAAAAAACTTCATTCAATAGGTATAGAATAAACTTGTACCAAAAAATTCTTACAGCAGTAAGAAAAATCCATTTTTACAGTGTGAGAAGAAAGTCTCATAAAGAGAACTGTCTGCCCACCACCTGAAGAGTGTGGCCAGAAAAGAGCACTGAGGGATTGTGTCTTTGCCCCATGGTCCTTGTACTTTGGTGTGCTGCAGGACACAATTATGTTGCCAACGCTGTTTAATAGCTGTGTTAGGAGCAGTTATTCACAGCTTGGGGCAAAATCATATGTTGATGATACCCAGGCTCTAGATTTCTTCATATCATGAGTCAGGAAAGGCAGAGCCTAGTCTGGAATGCTGTCCAGAAGCATTTGTGGAATGGATGGGTAATAAGCCAAGCTTAAACCCAGGGTAGTTCCAGTTCTAGGAGATGGATTGGCCATCTGCCTGTCCAGGATGGGGTTACTCTCCTTTGGTCAGAACAGGTGCATAGGTTGGGGGCGTTCCTGCATCCATCTTTGCTGCTGAGGTTTAGTGGCTAGGAATGCCTTTTACCTGCTATGGTTAGTGTTCCAATCACAGCCCTTCTTGGACACGGATAACCTAGCTACGATGATTTATACATTGATAACCTCGACTTTTACTATTGCAATATGCTCTTATGTGCCCAGCCCAGAAGCTCCAACTGGTACAAAATACTGTGGCTAGACTGTTAAAAGTTAAGCTACTGTCAGCACATACCTGGCGCTTAAATGTTTTCACTGGTTGCCCCCATTACTAGGACAGGGTCAAGGTTCCTATGTTAATTTGCAATATCCTTAACCCTGATATTCTAGCCTGATCACAGAGATCTTTGGTGAAGTCTCTTTTGGTGGCTCAGATGAACAGCTCACAACTACTACAAGCTGCATTCAACTGAGATCCTTGCTGAACTCTTTTTTGCTTCAGTCGTTTTACGACTGTGTTGGCTTTATGATGTTAATTGTTCTTGTTTTCCTGACTCATTTTCTGTGAGCTATTTTTATGCACATCGCCTAGCAGTACAAATAATCACTTCTATTTCTTTACAAGTAAATACGAACAAGAGACCGTACAGAGCAGATTGGGTACTGGAGCTGGTTGCTGGAGAAGGAAAAGAATGGCCATTATTCAGTCACAAGACATTTGAGAGCTAACGCAGTTTAAAGAGCTTCTCCCTCATCCAATCACACTATTTGCAACCCTCTTCCCCCCAAAAGACAGGATCTGCTAAGAGTACAATCAGCTACAGTAATTGTCGGGGTGGGGTGGGGATAGCTTATATATGTTCCCCAACCTCAAGAGCTATATGCAAGTTTATTTTGGAGAATAAACAAATAATAATCACAAATAAGGTAAACATTTTCTGCTGTAATCAGAGCTGTAGGTGTGGTACAACACAACTGCATTCAGCATCCTTGGAGTGCCAGAGGGAGTGCTAGCTTGGTGTGGCTGTAGTCTTAGGGCTACACAATTATGCTTTAATGGATGGATTATACTTGCTGAAGACTGCAAATCAGAGGAACTAGACATTTATTGCGGTTAGGGATATGGCTTCAACAAGCTGCTCAGCTCTTACCTCCCTCTCCATGAACAATTTGCATAAAGTAGTAAAAGTGAATTACACAGTGGAATAATTTATTCTCGTCTCACAATCTAGACTTTGTTTTTACAAAACGCCCACATCTTTGACTTCGGAGGTAAATATATACCACTGTGAAACATTTAAAAGTCAATTTCGAGCCCTGCAGTTCTTTAAAAACAAAACAAAACTCTATAAACTTCTAAAAAGAGTTATTTTGGCAGGCTACTTACCCATCAGTGTATGAAACTCCCATTGTTCTCGGCACATTAGTGGCAGGGAAATTCATTAGCGTGAGCAGTTTCTGAGCTCTGGGTGCCTAAGATTTCAGATTAAAACTGCAGAGTGGAAGGAAAGGAGGACCTTTTTCTGCCTCCACACTTCCAGCCACTCTCTGAAGACTGGAGAATAGAATATTAGGGGGGGTGGGCAGGGGAAGGACTAGACTATGTGGGAAATGAACATAGTATCTTAGCTGCAGTTCATTTGGTTTTCAGTTTTGTATTCTTGTTATAAAACGTGCCTAGACATTCCGTTGTTGCAACCATAACCTAGCTATAAGGTGCCATTTAGCTCCTATCTTTCATATCTCAGTTCCTAACACTGCTACCCATGAACTTTCAGTTGATAATGTTCATTTCCAAAGGCCAGAAAACAACCAGGAATAATAATCTGTCAATAAATTTGTTTTGAATGGAAAGGTTATCATCTAGACACTGATTTTCTTCAGCAATTGAGATAAACCTAAATGTAACCGAGGAGATAAATTGTTGGTGCTTTTAAACAAGACTCTAAAATTTATGTCTCCTGTGAATTACAACAGAGCTGGGGTAGCCAACGCAGTGCCTTTCGGATGTTGCTGGACTACAACTCCCATCATCCCTGCCCACTGGCCATGTTGGCTGAGGCTAATGGGAGTCCTTACAGTATCTGGAAGGCACCACAATGGCTACCCCTGCAATAGAGTACCACAATACTAATTCTGAAATGATGGGAAAACGGAAAAACACCTTATATAGAATATTGTTATAGGCCTGCAAGAATACATGGTGACCTGAGGAATGATGATACGACCTGAGGAATGATACCTTTGTTTAAACACTGAAATGACTTTTGTTAAAGGTAAATAAGTAGGTATTTGGTGCTTCTGTGAGGGGTGGGATTGTAAAAATGAAAAACAAAAAACCCCTGCTGTATATGAACTATTGTTTATAACTGATTTGTAAGTAAGTAAAGAGAAAAAAGAAAAACGCCTTATAAACTAAGATGTGCTACAGAATAAAGTTTTGTTTCTATAAATTGTGTTCTAATACTTCCACTGACTGGATGTTTATGATTTTAAACATGGACAACTGGTTAAACAAACAAAACTCCCGAAAAACACAAAGTACTTTTTCTTAGAAAAAAATGTTGTATATTGTCATGATATGCCGCTGTTAAAAAAAACCTCTACTGCATTACAAGTGCTATATTTAACTGTCAAGAAAAAGATTAAAATTCTTAACCGTAAAAGGAAACGAATTATTTCCGCAAGTTTCTGAACAGACAGACGTAGCAATGGAGTAAAAATGAACATTTATTACAACTCAACTGGTGTGATACTAAGACAGTGTCCACACAGCTTATGTCACAGTCACAACAAAGCTTCCAACCAAGCACATACAAGGCAACATTGTAAACCTTAAACATGGTTTGAATACACATTTAAAAAAATGCTTTCGACTTTTTAAAATGTCAAGTAATTAGATCACTTCAACATCACACAGAGGGCCACTCTAATGTTTCTTGAAACTCATTCCAGATTTTCTGTGAGTGAAATGTTGAACAGGGTTCCTGGGTATCTTATGCAAACATGATATTTTCATAACTTCTCCTTTGTGATTATGGCATGAAGCCATGATCTTTCAAATGCCTGGCACAGCTTATAAAGTATTTGGATGCTTTGGAACACAGTAATCACAGCAAATAGACCCACAGGAGGGGAACTTGATAGTCATATTATTGGAAAGGCGTGCAGTAACACACACAAACACAATGTGCAGGAAGTCACACTGCTTTCAACAGCAGGTGTTCTGTACTGGGGTTCTGCACTATGTGAAGTGTAGGACATGCAGGAAAATGCAAGACAGAGTAAAACAGAGTTTGACTTTGTGAAGTTCACGTTGCCTGATCACGTTGCATGTTTATATGGTAGTAAATCCTGCTTTGTTCAATAGGACTTAATATTTTATTCTGTTTTTAATCTGTTGGGAGCTGCCCAGAGTGGTTGGGGAAACCCAGCCGGACAGGTATAAATAATAAATTATTATTATTATTATTATTATTATTGTTTTATTATTATTACTTACTGCCAAATAAAGTGTGCATAGCTTTGCAGCCTTTTGAAAAACTAGCTGAGGTAAGGTATGCCAATGACTTAAAGAGTTTGTGTGTAATGTTTGCTTCTAGTGTGTTCAGATTTGAACACAACTAGAAGTGTTCAAAGATAGGTTTAGGGAGTAAACCTATCCTTGCAAAGTAGAATGAAAAATGAAAAACAATGATTAACACACAGATTGTCAGATTATCAAAATAGCTACTTGAGTTCTGGTTTAAGTATAGTTGATGTACTTGGAGAAAGGTAGACAGATGTGTTGTAACGTTCTCTTCTTACATTTTTCCCTTTGAGAGTATGTCAACTATCTCAATGACTTCTGGTTTAATACTGCTTTACACTTTTGAAAGGATTACATGAGCAATCAAGAAAGCATTTAAGCTAGTAAAAAAATAAGTTTTTTAACAAAGAAAATTCCATGTAGCCTCAGCTGGTGTTCCCTTTGTACATTAACTCAGTTTTCTGGCTGAATTTCACACTGTACAATTTCATTCTGATACAAGTTCTGTTTACAACCTTGTTGCTAGAAATAAAGCAACTAACATCTCACAACAGATCTTGGACTTGCAGATCTCAATTGAATTCTTTGGTATTATGAACAGCTGCAAAACAGTTGTTTCTCCCCAATCTAACAACCTAAACTGAGTATAACAAATGGTGACTTTATAGTAAAAGTCTTTGGTTACACAAAACCAAATTAACACATTTCGACTGGCTGTCATATGGAATTGTTTCTTTTCAGTGTATGACATAATGTACAGTACTTGATACATTATGTATGGCATTTTACAAAATATATTTACTGAAATTGCCATTTATGACTCATCAATGCTTGTAAATTACTGTGGCTTAAATCACTGTAATATCCCTTTTCTCCCAGAAAAATGTTTTTAAATCTTTCATTCCCTTGTTTTTAAATTTTACAGTAAATGGATTTTTTCTTGTAGGCCTAAAAGATGTAGCTCAGCAGAACAGTAATACTGACAAATAGCATCATAACACCATTAGCTAACAATAAATGAAGGCAGTGAACATTTAGTTATGCGGAAACATCACACAAGACATCAGCAAAGAAGGAAGTTTATGTCAGTCCAATTTCTTCGAGTACACTACGAGGGGTTTCCGCTTCCTGTGGAGGGAAAATTAGAGAATGAACAGATTTTGTGCTCCTGCCAAACCATATGTGCTATGTTAATAGGGAATTCATGAAATTCAGGGTATGCACCAAGCAGTCGCTAGTTATGCAGAACACTCTCAGTGTTTAAGCATTTTATAATAGTATTCATCGCGCACACCCATCCATTTTCTTTTGTTGTCAAACAGAGGAAGCAAATTATTTTCTGTTTTCAGAGCAGAGATAGGGGCTATTGCTATTAAAATTCCCACTCCCACCCACCCCAGCAGGCATGGCCAGTGGTCAGGAATGATGGGAACTGTAATCCAACAAGTGGAGGACCACAGATTCCCCATCCTATTTGACATAAAAGAATGCTATGATACCACTAAAACTTTTTAGAATCAACATTTCTAGTTTCAAAAAGTTAGATTTCTATACTTTATATGTGAAGTTTGTATGGTACTTCTTGAAGTGATTTGATAGCAACTGTAATGTTAGCTGAACATCAGATGTTTCTAAGACTACCTTAGGAAAAGCACACCATGTTGTTTTTTCTGTTAAAAACATAACTTGTAATTTTTGTATAAACACAGAGAGTTTACACTTACTTTAGCATCCTAAACAAGGCACAGCACCAAAAAGAGAGAGTCAGAGTTAGGCAACAATTTTCAGAAAAGGCAGCATTGAAAATGTGAAAGAATATAGTTAAAGATGCATTTTGAATTTCTGGATGTTCAACTAAAGGAACAGAAATGGGCCACGAAACTTACCAGATTAAAGACAAACACATTAAAAAGAATTTCTACTTCATGATTTTAAAACTGGAAATTTTGAAAAGGCTATTGTCAGGGGACTGAAACCACAAGAAACTTATCTTTATTATTCATTTACACATCACAGAAATAAACAATGCTTCTAAATATTCATGGATATAAGGATAAAAGAGCTGGACTATCACAAGTGGGGCGGGATGTTCCTAGAACCACTAGATTAGCATAGATGGTACATACAATCACCAGTATGATCACTTGCCACCATTCTGCATTGACAGAAAGACATGCTAGTGTATGGAACTGAAGGGCAGGATACGAGATAGCACTGCAGTTAAGTTTTAGCCTAATCTGCTCTGTGTAAAGAAGGTGTTTCCTGACAAATAGATCTATTGGCAGTGAAAGGCACCATTCTTCCCATTTGTGAGGCAGACTACAGCTCCTTGCCACACAAGAACTACTTGGGAATGGGCACGTTCCATCAGCAGCCGCAGATCAAGAAGATAGTATTTTCTTCTTCCTTTCACTGATTTGTGAGGTAGGTTAGAGCCACTGTATGCCATGTGAAGCATAGGCTGGACTTCCATGCTAGTTGGAGCTATCCACATAAATGTTCATATCCTCCTATCAGGACAGGACCTAAAGGAAGTAGTGCTTATGGACTCTAAACTCTGGGCAATATGCAAATACTATCAGACTATTGTTGTGTGTATTTTCATATACTGGGTAAAAAATTAAAAGTTAATTTGCACCTTAATGAACAATGTTTTATGAGTAAATGAAGCAAGCACACCCTCAACTAGTTAACATCCCAGATGCAATCTGGGAGCATTTAAACTACATAGTAGCTGTGAATATCCATCAAACAAATGTTAACAGCTGTTTGAAAATGTGTAACTGAGTAATGCTTGAGAATCAATTTAAATAATGCTAATGCATTGAAGTTTGAATCATTTATCAAACATGTTTTCACATATTTTATGCCTGTAGATTAGAATTACCAAAGGCCAACTGCACAAACATGAAATATATCATAGCAAAGAGATGGAGGAAAAAAGAAGCCATTCACATCAGGAGTGCATGCAATACTTTATTATAGACATGCCATGAAAACTAATTCACAGAAATTTACAAGCATGCAGCCGTATAAAGCTATAACATAACACAGCACCTCATTAGCACTCCATGCACAGCACTTTAAAGATTCAGGCATGAGGAGAATGCAAGCAGCATTTACCATATACATTCACAGAAGAAATACAACAAAAACAGGAAAGTTTTGTAATGGGAAAACATCCTAAGATTTGATACTAATACATCCCAGACTGTTGTAAATTCAGAATGTTAAACCCCCTTACTTGTGAACTATAACTGACGTTTTTGTTCAAGTAAAACACGTATATCTGGAATTTTCTATTACTTATAGTTCATTTGGCTAATCCTGCCCCTTTCCTATTTTTGCAATCACTATTTTATAGCAGCCTCCTGAGCAATGTAAACAGAATTAGTCTACCACTACTCACACTTGGAATGTTCACATTTCTGAATAGAAATTGCAGAGTGGCTCAGAATATCTGTGGATGTTTCTGTATGATTACCTGCAGGCACAGATTCTGCCTGTTGCGGCAATGTTTGGGTCAGCTCCATTAGTGCACTGAAGTATAGTCATATAAACAATTTTTTCTATGGCCTACGAAGTTTTTCTCATTATCTATTAAACGAACATTTAACGGGTCCAACAATAATTCACTATCAATGGATTTCTGTAATATATGCACAAATACCAATTCATACTTAGTTTGAAAAATACAGTCACCATGGTGTTTGCATATTTAAACTGCAATGTTGGGCTCAACGTATTCCAGCTTGAATACTACATGCTATGACAAGTGCTACTGGTAAGATTTAACATGGAAGTTATGGCATGCTGACAAGACACATGAAAAGAAAAAACACAGACATCACAAATGGTAGGAAAAGAAAATATACAACAGCAAAACAAATGTGATAAACTAATTTGTTCAAGATGACTGGATTCGTCCAGCTGAGGATAAGTATTCTGCCATGAGTAAATCGGCTCTATCACGTCTCTGTATGCATGGTGAATGAAGTCATTTAGTATACTGGGACATTAAAGTATTCATGACGTGGCTACAAAAGAAATGTGCACATTCTTTATAAATAGTACAAAAGTTTGCATGCATACAATAATGCAAATGGTTTTTTATTTAACACTACTTTTAATGCTATTACACTATTTCTACACCAATCTTCTCAATCACATGCATTATTAAACAACATGCTATTCAGGGTTTGAAAAGCACACCATTGTAGTATGTTTAACAAACTATATGCAATTAGACATCAATGAATCATTTGTTTAAAAAATGTTGCTCTCTGTGTGTGCGTGCACACATGCTTCCATATTCACAACAAGCTTGTGGTGACTCGTCTGTACCATGCATGGCTATAGTCAAACATTATTTGTTTGCATATGATTACATTTAAGTAGAGAAGGCAGAACTTTGCCTACGTACTGCTGAATAGAATTGTCATTATTGGAGGCACAGAAAGAGGTGTGGAAATTAAAGTACGCAAATTGTTCAGTTTCTGATAATGCATCTAACTACATCAAATTCTATCCCCGCTCCACCCGATGTGTTTTTCAGCATGGCAATTTGCAAGCAAGGGATTGTTAGAATATCCCCCCCATCAGCAAAAAAATAAAGTGTAGTCTTGCAAATTATCTCTAAGCACAATGACCACATTCTGTCTAATCCATTTTTAAAACCACTTGTATTAACATTCCAAGCCAGCTAACCGTTAATCCAACTACTCAGATGGAGACTTGGCTTTTGGGATTTCCTGCCAACCAAGGCCAATTTAACAGGATCTTAAATTCTCTCACACTTCTAAGAGCTTCTGTACAATCAGACTATTCATATAACTGTTTCAGGACCAGTTCTAAGAAGACTAATCCAAAGACCCTTCTGAGAATTCTCATTTAAATAGGAATGCCCAAATTCTCATGCACAATAACCAGGCATAAGAATAGTCTGTGGACATTCCCATAGCACTGTGTTTATGTATGAAAAATATGGGCTTTCCAGAAAATGTTAAACTGGAAAGTCTCCCCCCCCCAAAAAAAATTCGTCTGCTCTAATATCAACTAGGATCCATGTTAGTCTTCTATTTAGTTAACATTTAATATCTTAATGAGAAGAAAATGAACTTTCTCAACTAATGTGAAGTGTTCCTGTTCAGATAAGATTTCCAGCCACTCCATTCCAGTTTCCCTCCAGTTTTCAATCTCCGTCCCCCTGCAACACTGTCTGCATTCTATGCTTACTAAACATGTTCTGTTCTCGTTAGATCATTTTTGCACACAACTCATGATGCTGCATAAGATTGCAAAGAAACAATAGTTAACTTCTCAGGCAACAGAGCAACATCATCCGACATCAGCTTTAACCTTGACTAGCATTCCCTCCTACAGTGTCTTTGAACAAGTTCTTAAAAATACAAAAATAATTAGTCAATAACCGAGACTCAGTGTTCCCATCCGCATCAGATTTTGCTCCTTCTGTTTCACTTTGCCCCATGTGAGCATGCATTGTGTAGCATTTCTAAAGGAGTTTGCTGCATTCAGAATATTATATAAGGAAGAACCAAGTTTTACCAGAAGGGTGTGAAGGTCTGGTTTGACTTACTAATGTTGAGCTTTTGCAATTTTTTTCTTTTAAATTCAACTTGCACAGAAGCACTTAAGCAAACCACTCTTGAGTAGGACAATGGCAAAGATAGCTAAACACCAGTAAGTTGATTTGTTATTATTTAACAAAACATTTTATTTTTTACATTTTCCAACCTCAGACAGGTAGTGAAAAATGAACTGGTTCAAAACATTACAAAAGTAATTAAAACATTAGGTCAGGGCAGGCGCACTGAGTCAAGAAGCTGTTAGCTTCTCGATGACAATATTCTGCACTGCAGCCTACCCACATAATTCTTGCAGCTCAGGTCCTAAGCAAATTTCTATCACATTGTAGGTAATGCTGACACGAAAGTGTCTCTTCTCTCATCAAGTTTGGGACTTTGCAACCAAGTGGAATAGAGAAGGGAAGACTTACTATTTGAGCCATGATGTTCCCTCCATAAGTAGAGCCGAAGATATGTACCAGCATGACTAGATGGAAAATTACTCCACAATCACACTCAAACCAGGGACAGAATCCACAGAACAGATGAATGTATTGTAACTTTGAACAATTTCATCTTTTGTTCAGTCTATTTAAGGGGAGAATGGCCCGCAGCAATCATTCTATATAATCACTGTGGCACACATAAATGATGGTAAGTAAAGGTAAAGGTACCCCTGCCCGTACGGGACAGTCGTGTCCGACTCTAGGGTTGTGCGCCCATCTCACTTAAGAGGCCGGGGGCCAGTGCTGTCCGAAGACACTTCCGGGTCACGTGGCCAGCGTGACGAAGCTGCTCTGGCGAGCCGGCACCAGCACAGCACACGGAAACGCCGTTTACCTTCCCGCTATAAAGCGGTACCTATTTATCTACTTGGACTTAAGAGTGCTTTCGAACTGCTAGGTGGGCAGGAGCTGGGACCGAAAGACGGGAGCTCACCCCGCCACAGGGATTCGAACCGCCGACCATACGATCGGCAAGTCCTAGGCACTGAGGTTTTACCCACAGCGCCACCCGCGTCCCTATAAATGATGGTAGAGACAACCAAATCCTAGAGTATGGAGCATCTTATATCTTTAGGAAGGGCTGTAGCTCAGAAATCAGGTTCAATCCCTGTCATCTCTGTGTAGGGCCCGATAGATAATCCTGTTGAAAACCACTGCCAGAGAGTGTAGACAGCTTCCTAATTGTCTGATTCAAAATAAGGCAACTTCCTAAGTTTTTGTTTCTTCACCTGTGGCGTGGGATCTAGCAACAGCTGCTATCTACACTAGGGGTCCACACCAGCTATCAAGCAGATCAGCAACAACTCTAGGACATCCAATTCATTATTGGCTGCGGCCAGGTGCGTTTCTGTTCAGCTTAATCTTATGTGTCAGCTACATCCATTCCTGGAGTCTGCAGATCTGGTCAGGTGATGTAATACCTTAGTTACACCATGTCTGGATTGCTGCAATGTGCTGTAAATGGGGCTACCTTTGAAAACTGTCTCAAAACTATCAGTTGTCAAGAATGTGGCAGATTACTGGGGGCCATATGACTTTCCTATTAAACACAGGAAAATGCAGACAATTGGTCTTTCTAACTTAGTATTGTCTACACTCACTGGCAGCAGCTCCTCAGGGTTTCAAACAGGGGTCATTCTAAACACTACATGGAGATGCCTGGAATTGAACCTGGATCTCCTGCATACAAAGCAGATGCTCTATCACAAAGCTATGGTCCATTTACAACTACTGTTCAGGTTTCCAATTCATTTCCAGGCTCAATTCAAAGTGCTAGTGATAACCTTTAAAAGTCATTCAGTTTAGGACAGGGTTTTCTGAAGGACTCCCTTCTGTAAATGCCTGCACATGACTGAGTCTTCAACGGATCACTCTTGTGTGTCCCAACAACTTTGAAAGGATGCCTGGGAACAGAGACAAGGTCTTCTCAGTGCCCATGCGCAAGCTCTAGAATTCCCTCCCAAGGGAAGGGTCATCCTGCCTCCTCTTTAATGACCGTCTGCAGAGTTGTTAAAAACTTTTAAAAGAAGGCTTCTGAGTCATTGATATTTCTATGCTCATTTACTGACCTAATTTGCTAAAAGGTATATTGAGTAAACTGCTATTAATAGCTGCTGGGAATTAAACAAAGGGGAGAACCATGTATGTCACACTGAGCACCTTCGGGGAAAAGGCAAGATATAAATGCAATAGAAATAAAATAAAATAAAACAAAACAGAAGTTTTTTAATGGGTCTTTGATTATTATTTAAATATAGATCATTTATTCACCCTGATTTGTACTGTCCCAAGCTTACTGGGGTAAGGCAGGATTAATAAGTGTGATAAGTTTTAACTTGTTTTACATGTAATTCCATTACTCTATTGAAAGAAATTCAGCTTTTTTAAAAAACTGGAAGATGTAATTAACTTTTTTCTTTAAAAATGATACCAGGCTTTTAAACTACAGTGGTACCTCTGGATGCAAACGGGATCCGTTCCGGAGCCCCGTTCGCATCCTGAAGCGAATGTAACACGCGTCTGCGGGTCGCGTTTCTGCGCATGATGTCATTTTGAACGTCTGCACATGTGCGAGCGGCGAAACTCAGAAGTAACGCGTTCCGTTACTTCTGGGTTGCCACGGAGCGCAACCCGAAAACGCTCAACCTGAAGTGTATTCATCCCGAGGTATGACAGTACTTCTGCTACTCTGTATATAATTTAGCTCTGGAAAGTTTTCAGTTTATCCATTTGAATGTTCACTGGGATTTCTTTAAAATACACTTACCTTTTTGTGTAACATATTCCTCTAAAATACTCAACAAAAATGTTGCAATGCACTATAGATGTAAATTAGGCTTGTCCTATGAAATTGACTAGTAAAGCATAAATAAATAGTTCTGCAGCAAGGCCTATGGTAATTTCATGGCCCTTCCAGGTAATGTTTCAATGCATAATTAGGCCCTACCTAGCAAAAAACTTTGTGAATCTTCCAACTTCTATTAACACCTAAAGATTAACAACACCAGAACAAAACCACACACCACACACTTCAAACCGATGCTGTTAGTATGAAAGGAAAATAAGACAAGAGCACCCAAAGCATATTTCAATACTTTCATGCAAGTGTTGCACAAGGTTAAGTTCATCACTGGCCACTCTTCTGTTCTTCTTTTTACTTATCAGGCAAGAGTTCCATTACACGTGCAAAACTCTGCAAAGCACCCATGTAAACCATGCCACCAAAACGGTAAATTTGGTAGTTACCAATCGTATGGATGGGATCAAAACGCTAAGGCTTTAGACTGCTCTTAATCATAAGATATCCTCAGACAAACCTCCCCAGTCTTCATTCTGGCTCTACAAACAAAATCAAGCACAATTGAAAATTTGGCAAGTCTGAAGTTTAAACATTTTTTAAAAAAATGTAGCAGAACTATCTGAAAAAATATCCACTATTACACACACTTGGACATATGAGGACCGCTAAGGCTCTCAGGTAAACGGCTTCTTTGCATTGCTTAAAAAGTCAGTGTTATCAAGGACAAAGCTAATGAAAATGTGACAAAGACAACAACTCCAATGAACTCCACATAAAAAACATGAGAACTCAACACAACAAGATGTTTCTTTTTCAACAGCTAATCAAGCTTCAGGTTGGGGAAGTTATTCTGAACACAATGAGAGCATTTGTTAAGAGTCAAGCTATATTTGACAGTAGAAGATACTTCCTACTTGTCAGCTCCATTCCCATATAAAATGGGGATGGGACTCAGGTCTTGCAGCAAGAACACTGCACCCTTACCCTCCTCCTGTGCCTTATTTCCTCTCAGTTCATTTTGCCAACCATTTTTTTCCATTAATGATCCACTTCTGGTACTGGAGCTAGAAACAGGGAAGTGTCTGAAGCAACTGAATACAGGGAGGTGAGGTACATGAGAAAGTCAGTTAGTCAGTCAGTCTCCCATGGACGCCATTTACTGTTAAGGACCCTCAACTTTATATGACAGTGCGGTAGACACATAAATTATAGTTCCCACCATGTCTGATTTGGTCCCCAAATAGATCACATTAATTCAGATCTCATCCTTACTAACAGCTTTGAAAACTCTTAGCAAGATATAACTGGACTATTGGATTTATTTTTAATGGGTTTTTAAAAGACCGTATCTCAGAGAATGCTAGCCTCTTTGAAGTTTTCTTCTGAAGAGTACAACATAAAACCTAAAAAGCTGAAGTTAAGCCTTTCTTAAAGTTAGCATTTAATTTTCAATAGTGGAGTTATGCCATTCCCAAACTATTTAGTACTATGTAAGATATATTAATTCCCTCATGCTACAAAGGACTACGATGTAAGACATAGCTGAAGAGACAATAGAGAACAAGACAGAGTTCTCATTCAATATTCCTGCCTCTACCGAATACTTTAAAGACTACTTTCTGTGCTGAGGTCAAAGTACCAAACATTCAAATAGGGTGATGACTGTTATCTAATTCAAAGCACAAGCTCTGTAAGGGAGATTAAACAGCTTTACCACACAGAAAAGTGCTTGCTTCATAACTTATGCAAGCAGTTCAGAAACACACATCTCTCAGAGGCAAAGCATAGGTACTGATTCTTTCAGTGCTAAGTATTACAAAAACCCAATAACTACATTAGATATGCAATGTATTTGTTATTTCCCTATGTCACGCCAATATTACAAGAAGTTAGAAATCATGTAGAAGGGACAGAATGATTATGTGCATATAGGCACACAGTACACAATTCATTTTTTAACCATGGCATCCCCTCACTTCTCCATGTGATTTTCGTCCTCCCATGTAAACTTTAAAGCCTTACATTCCTCTGGCAGCTCTAGACATAGTTAAAGGACTGCTGCCATACCTGTAAGTCAGGCCAAGTATGTAACATGGAGAACACTTTAGATGTAAACACTGTCCCAAGTTCTCTCCATATCTTCAGCAAGCTAACTGCAAGTTTGAAATCATATAGAAATACTCTGAACAAAAAAAAGTTATCACTGCAGGAATCTTGCCTGCCTTGTATTTAGGAGCTGAACCAATGTTTGGCAGCTGGCACAGATCTGAGTCACTACCAGTACCTGGGCCATAACAGGGAATGTGGGGCTTAACACATCTATTGCTCACTGCTTTTCGCCATAATAAATGTGTCTGCAAATCTTGGGGAGACAAGCATATGAAGTGTGGTTGAGGGAAAGCATCTTGCAATTGAAGAATGAAGCATTTCTTCCCATTTCCCCCCACTCCATATCACACTGCCTCCCATGGCTTTTCAGCTCTGATTATCTTTGTTCTCAAGTTCCCACTTTGTTCTGGATTAGGCATCTCTTGGTCTTAAAATATTTTCTTCTTGTGCCACATCCAAGGTGATTTAAATGGGTTGCAAGGAGCTCAGTTCTGCAATGACTTAAGTATTTCTTTCACCAGAACTTAAGCTTAAGTAGTAGATGCATTCTTGTGAGATCTTTTTTGTTATCTGCAAGTGAACATGCTCACTGTCCACTCACAGAACATGAAATGAAGAACTTTGAAGCAATGGTGCACTAATTTAACAAATCACAGTTCTAGTGAACAGAGTACTTAATTTCCAAAAATAATGGAAATGTACTACTAATGTAACCCTCCCCATGTGCTTGATAATGAAGTAATTCTAACATACACAATTGAATAAGAGCATTTGCAATCTGTCCTGGATGGACTGATTGTCCTTCTTTTGTCCTTGTGCTTCAGCTTGTCAAACTGATTTTTAAAAATCCTTCAAGTGTTAGGGTATGAAGGAAGTATTATGGTATTAGCTACAATGACTCTTCCTTGTCTAGCTTTTGTACAGAGAGTCCCAAGTGAAAAGCTACTTATTATGTTTACATTTGTTTTATCAAACAGATTGTTACATACATATAAGGCAGCACTGATTCCAACCAAAGCGAAGGAACGGAATGACACACACATCACCCATTACAAATAGGTTAACTTCCAAAAAGACACTAACCAATGTAAAGGAAACACAAAATTCCACAAAATTTTAAAATGTTTAGTTTTTGTAACTTTATGTAAACACAAAGTCTAACACAGGCACTGCAGTAACAAATTCTGAAAAGATAAAGTACATAACTAACACACTATTGAAAAGATAAACTATCAATTATACAAACCCTGAAAGTCTATGTGAATTAAATGATGATGGGAAAGAGTAAAACTGATAAGGGGAAAATATTATTTTATTTCCTTTTAACATTTAGATGTCACACATTCAACAACTTCCGCTGGGCAGCTGTACCTCCCTTGCAATTTCTTAAACAAGATTTGTTCTGGCAAAACTATGATTTTAAAGGGGATTTGTATGGAAGAGAAATCAATGATTTTGTTCTGCAATTTAATATTGGACTTTTTTTCTTGAAGAGATTCCAAAAGGAACTGCATTTTATATTGTTTTTACTATGGTTCATTAGCCACCTCAGACACTTTTAATCGAAAGGTAGGTTAGAATTACTCTGTAAAACAGACGTGCAAAATTTTGTTCACAACAGCTAGTGTGCCACTGCACTCTGGCAAGCAAAACAAATGGCCAATCTTGCTCCCAAACTTGGGAGCTATAGAGCTAGCTGCAAATTACTCTAGCAGCTGTGTAATGATCCCGTCCTTTCTCAAAGCTGGGGGGGGGGGGTGTTTTACCACTATGACAGATACCCTGGGGGCCATAGTTCACCAAGCTTCTCACCATACTTTCCTGCTGGGAAAACCTTCTTGGTTGCTTCAAGCCCAATAGCAACTTGACTTGGAGTAGTCAAACCAGTGAATTACCCACAATCCTGTCCTGCAGGGGAAGCATAGCGAGTCACTGGAGCACATGGCTAAGAAAAGTCCTGGCAACCACTATTTTTGGCTTGCATAGCAAGGACAGCCAAAATTCTGTTAATAAACGAATCCACCATAAAATTATGTGAACAGAGTATGCCAATATTTTGTACTAGTACTATGGAGCCAGATAAATTCTGGACTGTAATGCCAGCCAGATAATAGAGCCAAACTAGACATGACATTTGCCACATGGTTTGTCTTTGTATCATTACTTTTTCTTTAACATATAGCCAGCACTTTGAAGAATCCTTAGAGGGGACCATGGCATGCAGTAGTTCACAGAGTGGATAGACTCAACAAAAATACATTACCAAGAGGAGGAAGAAGAGGTACACAAACCCCTGACGCCCTTTTTCTTTCTCTTTTACCCTGGCCACAGAGGCATTGCTATGTCTGACTTGTAGCCCCAGAGCGCTTTGAGAGCTGCCCTGCCAGACCCTTCAGTGAGCCAGTGTGGTGTAGTGGTTAAGAGTGGTGGACTCATAATCTGGTGAACCAGGTTCGATTCCCCGCTCCTCCACATGCAGCTGCTGGGTGACCTTGGGCTAGTCACACTTCTCTGAAGTCTCTCAGCCCCACTCACCTCACAGAGTGTTTGTTGTGGGAGAGGAAGGGAAAGGAGAATGTTAGCCGCTTTGAGTGTCCTTCGGGTAGTGATAAAGCAGGATATCAAATCCAAACTCTTCTTCTTCTTATGGGGTCCACTTTTCTGCTTGCCTTTCTTCCTGGCAGCAGCCCTCAACTCTCTCCCCAGAACCCCATGCAGTATGTATAGCTATGTGTGTACGAGCGGCTGTCACCTGTCTAATCTTTCTGTTCTCATTTCCTCTGTTTTATAATACTTAAAAATCTGTTAGGGGAGGGAAATCCTCCTCCCTTCAACTTCCTTCCACTCCAACCTCTGTAAAATCATATTTATGAAACAAACCTGTTAATTTCCTATCAGCCTACAAGGCACTGTGCACTATTAAGATCAAAGCAAACTAAACCAACAGTAACCATGAAGTAAGATCATACAACTATAGCAAACAGATCTCTCTGCAGCCTTGTCCTTTGTGTGTTTACTCACAAACAACACTATGCAAGACTTGCTCCCAAAAGTGTGCATAGTGTTGCAGCTGTAAAAAAAATTTCTTCCTCCACCCCTTTAATTCATATTCCTTCCTCCCTAATTTCCAATATCACATTTTCTTCCTGTGGATAGGTTAAAAGAGAAAAATCATTCTCAGCTGTGTTTGAGGTTGCAAGCCTAACCATGTATATGCAGGAGTAAATCCTACATAATTCAGCAGGGCTTACCCCCAGGTAAGGATTAAGTTTGGAGGTTTAGTGACCAAAGCCCACCCATCTACTCATTGCCTTTTTCTGCCTTCCTCTGCCATCTGTCCTACTATCCCTATTTGCACAAGCTTGACTTGCTGCATCCAACACCTCGGCTCATAGGCACTTCAGTAATGCAGACTGTTGCCCCTATGGCCAACTTTGCAGACATGCACTGCACACATGCACTTTAAACAAGCATGAGCAGGTTACACCTCATGTAAGGAATAAAGAATCTCACATTTTAAGAAAATGGAAAAATATATACTGAAAGACACTGTATGCAATCACAACAGTCTTGATGGCTGTTGTATTAATCACAGTATTCTATTTGCCACCTGCTCCTTCTGCAACTTTTTCTAAAGCTTCTTATATAATATGAACAAGCCAGAGTATTTGTGGGAATTCAGAATCACTACACTGTCAACATCCGTATGAAAACTTCTACTCAGTTGAGCCTTCTCCTCAGTATACCAGCATTTTAAAGGCAGTGAATTTTTAATGAAGAATGCTTTTAAACAAGTAGTCCCAGTGTATATATTCTGAAGTGGCAAAACCCAAGAAGTTAATATATATTTGGATGGGATGGCCACTTAATTACCAGCATAAATTTATGGTTTATTATTTTAAAAGTCTCACTAATGAGTGGATACAGGAGGACTGAAAGATGGGACTTCAACAAAACACATATCAAAGCAAAGCAAATACACATCTCAAAACACCACCCATGTTTGCAATACAAAGCCACAAAAGTTCACATCTGCATAACTGTACAAGCACACAGGCTAAATCCATGTTCCTTTATGTAGAAACAGACTTGCTGTATTTATAACATGGCTCTGAACCAACATTCAAAACATCTGTAGTGCCAGTTCTATGTTATCACCTCAAGATTTAGGAATTTTATGTAGCCTAACAAAAAATGAGTTGTTCCAACTACTGTGTTGAAACTCTAATTCTAAATCAGTGCACTAAAGGCAACAGAGTTCACTAATATTTATGCAGCTGCTATCTGTATACCAATGAGGCTAGGTAAAGGGAAATGGGGTGGGAACAACAAGGCCAGAAGCAGGACCCTTACTACTGAGTTAATTCTTACGTATTTCAAAGATTTATGGCTTTAACATATTACATATTTTGATATATGCTATGCTGTGTTATATTGATTATTCTGATGTTGTGTTAATTGAGTTGTTTTCTATTAGTCTCTTCGGGCTTCTCTCAGGAAGTAAAAACAGGATGTAATACAGGAAATGCATTTTGTTAGCAGCTGAGGTGCAAAGTTTCAACCCAAAAGTCTACTTTATTTGCTACGGTTCTAAGACTAGTGTTATAACTATTTTCTAAATGCACAGTGTACATCTACTTAAGTTAGCTATGGCACTGTTACTTGTTTTTAAAACACTTAATGTTAACTATACCTTAGCGTTTCAAAGAAGAGAGTCTAGCTTCTGGATTTCAGCAATGAAAGAGGCATACATGCATCAGGTATGACAAAAATTAGTTATAATCATTCAGTTAATTGAATAAAAAGAAACGGATATAAATTGAATAAAAACAACAGAAATGCCTAGACAAGAAGACACACACATGGAGACAGTAGCTGCATGTCTAGCAACACATACAACACCAAACACATTATGAAAGGAAACCTTAAAAAAATAAAGCAGTATTACTGTTCTTTATAGGTTATATACTGAATATAGTGATGCTAGCTAACAGAATAAGAAGTGGGTAAAGCAATATTGTACAGAAGAATATTAAGGAGAAGCTACATGCTAGACATGCTGAAAAGCTTTTTCAACAACTTCTGGAGAAATAAGATGCTTTTCCTAGAAAAGAGTAAAGCATGCTGGTGGAGCTTTGGCAAAAAAACAATTTTCTTACCTCTTGTAATAGATCTGCTTGTTCAATGGCTTTAAGAACATTTTTCTTTGAGGTCTCCTGTACTTCCCCTCCCAAAAGAAATTCATCCAAAATAAAATAAGCCTTCTCAAAATTGAAGATGATATCAAGTTCACATACCTAGAAAACATAGGAAAAAACATGTTGAGATTTAATCCCTTCTTTAAACTGCCAAGTTAAGATCCTGTAGTTTTTAAAGAAACACACATTGTCATGATCTTCTGTGTGATCACTAAAGGCCATGTCACGGATTTGGTAAGGAACAAACTTTTGAGAAAATATTATTATTGATTTAAATAGTAACATTAAAATATAAGGAATAGGCATTTAAATAAGTGTATCATTTGAGCTCATCAACCAGGCCTCACATATATACCACATAGTTCTCTGAATTATGTAATAGTATTTGTAACAGCAGCAGCACACTACTGAATATCTTCAAAGAAGATTCAGTGAAGTTGCTGACGGAAGAAATACTAGTTTCTTGGTTGTTACATACAGTATTGGTATTTGACATGCAATATCTGACAAATTCTTAACTTTCAGACTTCATTAACAGTTCCCAGTAAGGAAACAGACCTATATAATGTAATGCAATAGATAACTTTTTTATTCTCATTCACAGTAATAATGCATACATGCTGTAATATAAAATCAAAACACCAAATTTATTATTCTTTTACAGCACTTTTCAGAGTGCAGAATACTATTAAAATTCCCCAAAAGCACTGTGAGGGTGAAAACTAATGTCACATAAGCAAACTTCCACAGTGAAGCTTCCTCTTCTTTTCCTTCTCCCTGCAACATGCCCGCCCCGCTCCCAGGGCAAATCTATTGTTAATCTAGATCTGGCAAACCTCATGAGTAAATTTTGAGGGCTGCAGGGAGAGGAGAGGAAGAGAAGGCCCTCTTCAGAAATCTGTTCCACTCATGTACAGACAGCACTGGGTGTTATTTCTTATGTGTATTAAAACATTTTTGTATTTTCTTCAGGAAAAATAAGTCATCTTAATTTGTGTATTACATAAATAAAAAACTTCATTACAGAAATTTATAATATAGGATGAGACCCAATGGAGCTTGAGTGAGTATCTACTTAGTCAGTGAGGCTTCTGCTTTCTCTTCTCCCCCCATGTATCCCCCAAATTTGTTCTGGAGGTTGGGAAGAAATTCTGGAGCAGATTTTGGGAATGTGTGGCAGCAGGGAGAAAATGGTGAGAAGAGAAACCCAAGTCCCATTACACAAGTGGATTTCCACTGCCCAAGCAGGCAGACATCATTGGATGTCACCTACAGAGAGTAGAAAAACTAATTAATAACTTACACTTCCAAAGTATTTATCAAGCAATTCCACATAACGATGAATTATTTCCAGGGTTATTAGCTCATTATCCTGATCTTCAATGGCACAGCAAAAGTAGAGACTTGCATATCTGAAAGAAACAGGTTACTCTAATTATGAAACACTGCCAGATTATTGTTTTAAGAATTATACATACCCATTACATATTTCACAGAAATTAACAGTGCCAACTTCCTCAGAGTAATGCATTAACTTTCAAAATTAACCTGAATTCACAAACTTTACAAACTGGCTTGAAAATAGCTGTATTATGGCTTTTTCCAAGTACCTCATTGTAGTTGCCAGTTTGTGGACAAGTTTCATATTTGAGTGTGTTATCAACAGTTATTCAATCAATAGCTATAGGAAAGATTAGAATAGCAGTTATCGTTTTTATGAAAACAAACTTTCAAGATGGCTGTGGAAGCGCTACCCCCAGCAATCTTTTCCATCTCAAGGGCCACATACCAGTAGTGAGTGGGGTGTAGAATGAGATACTTAATTTTGTACAGTAAGCTATATTCTGCCAAATAAAAGCCAGAGGTTTCTAAATACACACACACCTTTTATCCTCCACCCAGGCAAGGAAGGTGCACTAACACATTTCAAGAACACATTTCAGCCAGGCAAATCACTTTAGGCGGATGCAGAGTGAAGGGTGTGGCCTGAATGGAGATAGAGGCCTGGAGGGTGTTGGAAGTGCTACAGCAGGGATCATTCAGTTTGTAATTTAAGGGTAACCTTTGTTATCCATAAGTCAACCAGCCAGTAAGGGTAGAGGAGTTGCTTAGCAACCAGTAAAGGTAAAATGGTGTTTGCTGAAGCAGCATGTGCCTATTTATACATTGCTTTTGTTCATTTTCCTCAGCACAGTGTTATCAGGATTTCTTTTATTTCTGGCTACATCGGCATTATTTAAGTGACTTTGCTAAGAGAGGGGCCCCTAAGGTTCCCCACCCTACTCTAGAACACAATCATCATCCTAGGTACTTTTATGTGGGCCTCTTTCATGGGAGGTTTGGAGAGTGACAACACAAGATCAAGCCTTTTCAATGATGGCTTGTTGAATGCTCTCTCCAGGGAGGCATGCCTGGAACAACCTTTATCTGTTTTTATCTGCCAGGCAAAGACTTTTCTCTTTGTCCCTTAATTTGAAGTGTGGCATTGTGGCTTGTTTCAGTGGGGTGCGATCAGTAAGTCCTCATTTGTATTATCAGTTTAACAGTGTGTTTAATTTTTTATTGCATTTTCTCAACTGTAGAAAATTGACAAATAAATAAATAAATAAATAAATAAATAAAGTGGTAGTAGTTTTGCAGGGCAGGGCATTTCCAACTGTGAGAGATTTATGAATGCACTGAAGCACAGGTAGTACTTGATCTGTTTACCTATTGAAACAAAGATTGAAATAATTTCACTGTGGTAGCAAGAACAATTTTCCTTCACAGCATTAAGCAGACAGTACAACATTCCATAGCTCTTAAATTTACAGTTGAACAGGCGAGAAGAATAAGACAAGTGTAATTGTGCAACCTTTCTATATTTGAGCAAAATCAAGTCCTAGCTTATATAAAATAAAATGATGTAACATTTAACATTCAAGTACATTAAATAGCCTTTAAAACACAGTTTTCAAATATGTATGCCTCATTTAATGAAAAATCTGAGTGCATAACTTTTTATTAAGTGTAAAATTATCTCATTTTTACAACACAGAAAAAGTACTGCAGACACGAATAATTCCTACAATGCTATTGAATTATATTTGAGGAAAGTTGAATATGTTTTTCACACATAAGAGAAGAAATCCTTATTTCTACTATTCAATATATCTTTTGTTGGATAGAACTTATAAGTGTAAGGATGGAAAACCACCTTTTGTAGACAATCTTCAGGTCCCTCCACTCCAGAAAACTGCACATTTTCGGTTTACGGGCCAAGACTGTTTGAACAAGTTCTCTTGTGATTTTCTTCTTTTCTTTGTCAGATAATGGGACATACCATTTCTGAAGTCTCAGCTTCCCTTGACGACTAAAAAGCAACATAAACTGCATCTGTTGAGTTAAATAAAACACAGTTTCATGTCAATCCTTCAGTCCCATTGCATAGTGTGTGCTATACATTTGAGAAAGCGTTTGAACATTAAGATCACCAGCATTTTTCTTTCCAATTAAGCTCTAAAAGCAGGCTGTGGGAAAGGACATCAAGGACTTGAAGGTATCTCAAAAGATAGACAGTGGCTCATATTTTTAAATAATTATTTTGAAAAATCTGGATAAGATAAACACAGTAGTGAGTTTTATCAAGGAATCATCTAAATCGTATACAACTGTATACAAGTGAAGTTTAAATGCAAAACATATTCACAGCAATTAATCATAATTTACTAACATCTTCCCATTGAAGACAAATGTAGCATAATGCCCTAGGTTAAAATTGCTGCTGTTTTTATAAACATTTCTAGAACTCATTGCACAGCAATAGAAATTCTCAACTCTGAAAAGCTATAAATTTCATATTAAACAGATCTCTAGTAGCAAGATCCTTGTTATCTGGGTCAGTATTCTTCAACTCTGGGTTCCCAAACATTGTTGGATTTCAACTCCCACCATCCCCAGCCATTTTAGGGCTTAGGCAATGGTCAGAGATAACTTCTGGGGACCAAAGACCACTGATCTAGTTATGCTGTTGCAGGTGCACAATATACTTTATTAAAAACCAGCCCATTCTTCTACACTGACTCTGCGACTGTACACAAAAGATATGACATAAAATAACAATGCTGAAAATATAATGCTGTTGGTCAGACTGGCCTTAGCCTTCTTCCTATATCTATGTTTACTTCTTTCTGCAAGCAAGCTATACAGAAATTGTAAACAAATTTTACACTCAACTTGAAAGACATCATCCTGCAAACATTTATGCAAGCATTACACATAATCCACCATATGGATTGTGGAAGGTTTACTTATGTGAGCAAATTTAGGTAACAGATAAATGAGTATTGTTTTGTGGTTCATTATGGCCAGGCTTCCAATTTTTATTTTTTTTTAAAAGCGAAGAAAAGAACATATAATGCAACAAACAACCTGGGAAAAACAGCTAAAAACAAGCAAAATATACTAAAGAACCAACTTATAAACTTTAAAATGCCTTGATAACTGTGCCTGAACGATATGTGGTGAGGAGGCAGGTCAAAGAGGAAGTGATGGCATCCACACTAAATGGTATTAAAAAGCAGGAACATTGATGCTTCAAACATGAGATGTGATTCACATATTGCAAGCCATACTTGAAGATAGGTCTTTGGTTTCAGAAGGTGGAAAATACTGAAGAAAATTATGTACCATCACACTATATTTTGAGTTCAACAAAGTGCATCTGGGATGAACAGCTCTTATCACCAACTATACATATTGTGGTCAAGTAAATTTGTACTAAAGAATATCCACACACACCAAATATGCATGCAGTTCTTTCTTAAGATCAAGTGAACTTCGGAGTTGAAATCTTTTTGAAGGAACTACCTAGACCTTTTTGGCCACACACAAATATAAAACTTGCCCCTCGTACAAGTAGCTACAGCCATGACAGGTCCATTCCTACTTAGGGTATTATCTTCAAAATGGAGTTAGAACATGAAAATACCAAGTTCATGAGGTGTGTAGCTGTGAGCCAAAGATTTTGACTAAGCCTTGCTTGCAGAAGTTGTTTCTGTAAGCTCTCCTCACTATGTAGAAGGCCTCAGTGAAAGTTACAAGAGAGTTACTTTGAACTTTAAAGGCATTTGTCTCTTTAAAAATACAAGTTAAAAAGCAATTTGTATTCTTGAGCCAGAGCAGTCTGGACAGTTAAATATGGAAATTTAGTACCACACAAACCACACATTTCTCAATCTGAATATAGTGATGTATCTCTCACTTTATCACATGAGATACAGGAAGAGGAGCAAAGAATAAACAAAAGGAAGTCCTCCCAGAGAACTTCAGAGCAATATAGATTTGTTCTATTTTACAAATCCCAGAACATTAGGCATAATCTAATCTGATCTATGAAGTGTCCTTAAATGGGTTATTTGTATGGAGAATCAAAACTGCAATAATACCATAGGGCAAAAGCTTACCTTATTTATAATACATTTCTAGTGGCTAATCTCCTTAGTGGAAAGCAGCTCACCTGCAATCCCCAATATTTGTCCAGAAGGCTAAAGCACTCATGCTCAAAAAATGATCTCTGTCCCTCCTTCTCCCAGGGTCTCTCAGCATACATATGCAAGACCACACTAAGGACAAACACCATTCTGCTTTTAGGCTTTAAGCGCTTCAAATTCGCATGTAAGCATGTGCAGGGAAGGGATGGAGGGGAGAGGGGAGCCACCTTTGTTCATCCAGGCTGCGTGTGGATTACATCCCCCTCCTCAAAAAAGAGAGAGAGAAATAGCTGAAGCGCATGTTAGGAGCTGGTTACCCCACTCATACATCCACTTCCTTCCAGCATCCCATTTATGAGGAATCGCGCACGGGTCCAACTACAACCACGGCCACCAGAAGCAAAATCCACAATAAAATGCTACAAGAAGTGAATGGTCTTTTTCTTTTCCCAGGGGGTGTTGTTGTGTTTGTGTTTGTTGAAGGCAAGCAGCCTGCCAAGCCAGCGTGGCATCAGGGGCCACGAGAACGACCGAGGGCAGCGCCAAGGGGCCAGGCAGGAGACTCTTGATCTCAGCGAGGTCGTGGGTTCGAGCCCCGCGTTGGGCAAACGAGTCGTGCATTGCAAGGGGTCGGACTAGATGACCCTCGCGTTCCCTTCCGGCTCCTACCATCTCCTTCAGAATAGGGCCTAACACCGACGGGTCACGAACAGCTCGACCGACGCATCTACCCCGCCAAGACCTCGAGGAAAAAGACTCTCTTTTTTTGTCAGCACGTAGAGCCCGCGCGGCTTGTATACAAATGCACGCGCTGTGTATTCCTGTACCTGGGCGCACATTTTTATATATGCACACGACGACGGCGGAGAACAAGAGGCAGCGGGAGAGTCTTTACAGCCGGTCTTTACAGCCTCCCCGCCTTCCACCCGTTGGCGTATTAAAAAAAAGGGGGCTCCGTGAGGAGACGCCTCTGACCGTTATAAGGAGGCGCCGGCGCGCGCCCGCGCTCGCCGCATCACTTACCGTTAGTCCGGAGCGTTCGAAGCGCGCGCACCGGTGTCTCTGCGCGAGTGTGCGCGTGTGCGCGTGTGGAGGGTGTCTGCTCAGCGCTCTCTCAAACTACGCAGGGAGCAACCGCCGCCACGCTCCCCACCAGAGCGAGGGAAGGGAGGGGCTCCTCACGGTGAGCAGGCCGTGCCAACTGTGGCGGGGCCAGGAGGCGGGGCCAGGAGCTCGTCGCAGGGGGCGGGCGGGCGGCCCCACTTCTTCTCTTCAGCCACCAAACTTCATTCGCCCCCTCGCAGCGGACGCCAGGGTGTACCCAAGGGGCGGGGTGTGCGTGGGAGCGCGGCGGGGCGGGGTTGGTGAAAGGAGGAGGAAGGATTTCCCGGGCAGCCAATCCCTGAGGCCGAACCGCACGACAGAAGGTTGGGGAGCGGGTAGTAACCGGTGCGCAGGCAACAGCCATCCGGACACGGCGGGTTGTGACAAGAGCGAGGCGGACCAATCAGAAAGCCGGTTAGACGCAATATTTGTGTTTCCCCCGCCTCTACTCGCATCTCGCCAATCAAAAGCACAAGGGGAAAGCAGATCAGCCAATCAGACGGGGACGCCCTCATCTTGCCCACCCACCCAGGCACACAAGGCGGTATATGAAGCCTCGACAGAATTGCACCGATTGCACATGCGCAGGGTCGTTCAACCGCCCCCCCACCGGTAATTGGGTTCCAGCTTGTCATCGTTAAGCTATGTCTTCTCTGTAACTCTCCCTCTAGTCTTACACACACACCTTTGCATTGCTTCTAGCCGCTTAGTTGGCTATTAAGCTTCTTAGAAAGCTAGTAACGTGTGAGTAGAATGTAGGAACATAGGAAGCTGCTTTGCACTGAGTCAGACCACAGCATCGTCTGCATCAACGGGCAGGCTTAGTCCCGCAACAGAGTAATATGCAAGCCTAAAAGCGGACACGGAAGCATTTTCATTTCTGCAACGGCTGCAGTCCTGAACTCATTCACTTGGAGAAAAGTCCCACTCCACTCAGAAGGATTTGCTGCTGGTGTTAGCACTAACTGTCCCAGGATATTCCAGTTAGCCAATTAGTGCTTCACTTTCAGGTTTTCTCTGTTATATGTGAAGTGTCAGAATTTTCTCAAGTTCTATAGGTTCTTCTGCCCAGGATTCAAAAGTTGCTTGTAACAATACAGTAATGCAGTTATGAGTGTAGCCTTTTGTTCACTACCAGTCACTTTGCACAACTCTCGAGCCTCGCTAGTAAACGCAAGGAAGTGCACTACCTTATTTAAGGTCCAGGAACCCCAGAATGACGGGAAATGACTCTTCATGCAATTGTGTGAGAGGACAGTCTGCGTTAGACTGTTGGTTTAAGACTGGAGAGACCCAGGCTCAAATTCTTTGTCTTGAAGCTCCCGGGTGACCAGGGGCCATCATTCTCAGCTTCACAGGAGGATAAATTGCAGGAGGTAGAATCAAGTAATGCTTTAAGATCAGGGAAGGGCTGGATATAAATGTAATTGATAAATACTCAAATTTAGCATAAGAAATGCCATAAAGGACGTGTAGGAATGGCAACACATCATGTTTTAGGATCTGTGACAGCCTTTAATTTTGAGAGCAATATAGTTTTCTGGAAATGAGCTTAGTTGAGGCAGATGTGATGCCATGATTATCTATTTATGGCATTTTAAGATTAATGGCCCCTTCATGGATCACTGCCTTGCCGTGGCGAAGGGGCTTGAAGAACTCAGAGAAGCTATGAACTATGCCGAGCAGGGCACCCAAGATGAACAGGTCATAGTGGAGAGTTTTGACCAAACGTGATCCACCTGGAGGAGGAACCGGCAAGCCACTCCAGTATCCCTGCCAAGAAAACTCCATGGACAAAGACAACAGGCATATAAAAGTTATGATGCTGGAAGATGAGCCCCTCAGGTCGGAAGGCATCCAATATGCTACTGAGGAAGAGCGGAGGACAAGTACAAGTAGATCCAGAGCTGATGAAGCGGCTGGGCTAAAGCCGAAAAGATGTTCAGTTGCGGATATGCCTGGAAGCGAAAGGAAAGTCCAATGCTGTAAAGAAAAATATTGCATAGGAACCTGGAATGTAAGAACCATGAACCTGGGTAAGTTGGATGTGGTCAAAAATGAGATGGCAAGAATAAATATTGACATCCTGGGCATCAGTGAACTAAAATGGACGGGAATGGGCGAATTCAGTTTGCATGGCCATCATATCTACTACTGTGGGCAAGAAACCCGCAAAAGAAATGGAGTGGCCCTCATAGTCAACAAAAGAGTGGCAAAAGCAGTACTGGGATGCAATCTCAAAAATGATAGAATGATCTCGATATGAATCCAAGGCAGACCTTTTAACATAACAGTAATCCAAGTTTATGCACCAACTACTGGTGCGGAAGAAACATTAAATTTGCCTAATTCTATGAAGAATTATAACACCTTATAGAAGTGACACCAAAGAAGGATGTTCTTCTCATTATAGGGGATTGGAATGCTAAAGTAGGGAATCAAGAGATAAAAGGAACAACTGGCAAGTTTGGCCTTGGAGAGCAAAATGAAGCAGGGCAAAGGCTAATAGAGTTCTGTCAAGAGAACAAGCTGGTCATCACAAACAAGCTTTTCCAACAACACAAGAGACGACTCTACACGTGGACATCACCAGATGGGCAGCATCGAAATCAGATTGATTATATTCTCTGCAGCCAAAGATGGAGAAGCTCAATACAGTCAGCAAAAACAAGACCTGGAGCTGACTGTGGCTCAGATCATCAGCTTCTTATAGCAAAATTCAAGCTTAAACTGAAGAAAGTAGGAAAAACCACTGGGCCGGTAAGATACAATTTAAATCAAATCCCTTATGAATACACAGTGGAAGTGAGGAACAGGTTTAAGGATTTAGATTTGCTGGACAGAGTGCCTGAAGAACTATGGATGGAGGCTCGCAACATTATACAGGAGGCAGCAACGAAAACCATCCCAATGAAAAGGAAATGCAAGAAAGCAAAGTGACTGTCCAACGAGGCCTTACAAATAGCGGGGGAGAGAAGGCAAGCAAAATGCGAGGGAGATCGAGAAAGATACAGGAAATTGAATGCAGATTTCCAAAAAATAGCAAGGAGAGATAAGAAGGCCTTCTTAAACGAGCAATGCAAAGAAATAGAGGAAAACAACAGAATGGGAAGAACCAGAGATCTGTTCAAGAAAATTGGAGATATGAAAGGAACATTTCGTTCAAAGATTACCATAATAAAGGACAAAAGTGGTAAGGACCTAACAGAAGCAGAAGACATCAAGAAGAGGTGGCAAGAATACACAGAGGAATTATACCAGAAAGATATGGATGTCTCGCACACCCCAGGTAGTGGGGTTGCTGACCTTGAGCCAGACATCCTGGAGAGTGAAGTCAAATGGGCCTTAGAAAGCACTGCAAATAACAAGGCCAGTGGAAGTGATGGTATTCCAGCTGAACTATTTAAAATTTTAAAAGATGATGCTGTTAAGGTGCTACACTCAATATGCCAGCAAGTTTGGAAAACTCAGCAGTGGCCAGAGGATTGGAGAAGATCAGTCTACATCCCAATCCCAAAGAAGGGCAGTGCTAAAGAATGCTCCAACTACCGCACAATTGCACTCATTTCACACGCTAGCAAGGTTATGCTTAAAATTCTACAAGGAAGGCTCAAGCAGTATGTGGACCGAGAACTCCCAGAAGTGCAAGCTGGATTTAGAAGAGGCAGAGGAACCAGAGACCAAATTGCAAACATGCGCTGGATTATGGAGAAAGCTAGAGAGTTCCAGAAAGACATCTACTTCTGCTTCATTGACTATGCAAAAGCCTTTGACTGTGTCAACCACAGCAAACTATGGCAAGTTCTTAAAGAAATGGGAGTGCCTGATCACCTCATCTGTCTCCTGAGAAATCTCTATGTGGGACAAGAAGCTACAGTTAGAACTGGATATGGAACAACTGATTGGTTCAAAATTGGGAAAGGAGTACGACAAGGCTGTATTTTGTCTCCCTGCTTATTTAACTTATATGCTAAATTCATCATGCGAAAGGCTGGGCTGGATGAATCCCTAGCCGGAATTAAGATTGCTGGAAGAAATATCAACAACCTCAGATATGCAGATGACATAACCTTGATGGCAGAAAGTGAGGAGGAATTAAAGAACCTTTTATTGAGGGTGAAAGAGGAGAGCGCAAAATATGGTCTGAAGCTCAACATCAAAAAAACAAAGATCATGGCCACTGGTCCCATCACCTCCTGGCAAATAGAAGGAGAAGAAATGGAGGCAGTGAGAGATTTTACTTTCTTGGGCTCCATGATCACTGCAGATGGTGACAGCAGCCACAAAATTAAGAGACGCCTGCTTCTTGGGAGGAAAGCAATGACAAACCTAGACAGCATCTTAAAAAGTAGAGACATCACCTTGCCAACAAAGGTCCGTATAGTAAAAGCTATGGTTTTCCCAGTAGTGATGTATGGAAGTGAGAGCTGGACCATAAAGAAGGCTGATCGCCGAAGAATTGATGCTTTTGAATTATGGTGCTGGAGGAGACTCTTGAGAGTCCCATGGACTGCAAGAAGAACAAACCGATCCATTCTTAAGGAAATCAGCCCTGAGTGCTCACTGGAAGGACAGATCGTGAAGCTGAGGCTCCAATACTTTGGCCACCTCATGAGAAGAGAAGACTCCCTGGAAAAGACCCTGATGTTGGGAAAGATGGAGGGCACAAGGAGAAGGGGACGACAGAGGATGAGATGGTTGGATAGTGTCTTTGAAGCTACAAACATGAGTCTGACCAAACTGCGGGAGGCAGTGGAAGACAGAAGTGCCTGGCCTGCTCTGGTCCATGGGGTCACGAAGAGTCGGACACGACTAAACGACTAAACAACAACAACAAGATTAATGGATTAATGGAACATATAAGCAATATGATACCCAGCCATACCCACAGGCAAGCCAAAATGTGCTGATTTTAAGCCAAATTGCATCCAATCCTTTGTCAGGAAGATTGTGAACGGAACAGGATTGTGCCTAAGAGTTTATATATCGGGACCCACTGTGAGTTGAATCCAGACTTAGTCATGTTTAGAGTTGACCCGCTGAAATCAATGGAATTTAAGTTGATTGCGATTCTCCTCTAAGCGTGATCACCTTCCACTGCCACTGTGCATAACCAGCATTTCATCTGTGTTGCTGGAACTACATGCCACAGGGTATTCCATGTTTAGGAAATGAGAGAAAAAGAAGAAGCCTGACATGGGAGGAACTGCAACTCTAAAATAGCTGCCAAAAAGGGGATTCAAATTGCCCAAAGGAAATGTTAAAATCAGGGTTGTCTCTAATATTAGGTAAAGGGAAGCGACCACTTTGGGCAGCAGACACTGGTGGTGGGGAGCAGCAAGGGCAGCCCTTTGGCTATCCCCCAGCTGCATATGTTTCACTGTCTGTCCTGGCTATCATACACAATCCTGTTGCCCTCAGATGCAGTGGAAGATTGAACACCATCCCATCAACACTGCTGAAGTAAGATTCAAGTGCTAGTCCACTTGGCTTCTGCACATGGTATGGACAGAGGAGGGGTGCCATCTTATGCACAACCTCGGGGGGTGGGAAATGCATTGTGTTGCAGAACCATTTCTCTTTGTGTTGTGTGTTAAAATATATATTGTCAGCTGCCATGAGCTCCGGAGATGTGGTAGGATATAAATCCAATCAGGGGTTCCCAAACTGTTCTGCAGACCACCAGTGGTCCACAGGCTTTATTCAGGCTCATCACATTGAATTTAGCACAGCGCATTACAATTGCTACAACAGGCAGAAAAATAATTAAGTTGTTCAAACAAATCCCTCAGCAATTTTCAAGTGGTCCATGGCAGGGAACATTTGGTCACTACTGATCTAAACTGTAAAAAATGCAAGCATTTGGAAAAGAGTACTGGCAGGGCCAGCCCACACATAGGGCAAGGTGAGGCAACCGCCTCCAGAGGCAGAATCCACAGGGATAGCAGATCCAGCCTCCAAGGAATGCATTGCCTGCTGTCACTGCCACAAGTGGTGCAGGATCTGCCTCTCCAGCAGCACCCCCAATGCCATCTCTACAACAGTCTATTGAGGAGTAGGAGGGATTGCTGGCTTCCTTGTTCTCAATGTAGATCTTTAGTCTCCCCTTGTTCCTGATGTAGATTTTGTGGTTTGCCTCAGGTGCCAACCTGTCTTGGGCCAGCTCTGGGAACTGGATTGGATGGAGAATCAAATTTCTACTACCAGAGCGATTTGAGAAGGGAGGGGAAGTCATTCTCAGTTTGATTCCCATCAGGGTTAAAGGAATTAGCTCCAGTGTAGTAATTTGAACATTCAAATCAAGATTTCTTTTGAAATTATTTATCTGATCCTCAAGGGTGTCTTGAACATTAGACACATATTAGTTAATTTATACTCCATAAAGCTTAACATCCTCATTTTGTACAGTTTTTCTAATCATATTACTCATCTCCTGATATTTATAGTCTTTTACAAGATAATTTTAGGAAGATAAGAATCAAAATCTCTAGTGCTTTTTAGGATCTTATTTAATCTCATTTATGAATGCATGCAGTTTCCTCCCAGTCCTTAATCAACATGCAGTAGTGTGTTAGAAGTATTTTCAATAAAGCTTCCACAGTTACATTTTAATTGTTCACTGGTAAATAGAAATTAGACTTAAGACATTTACGGTAATTACGAAGAAATACCCTTTCTGTCACCTATCTATGTAGACTGTTAGTAGGGAGTGTTTTGAGTGCACTGCAAGGTTTTAGAGGAAAATAATCAGAGTGAAGAACCCAGCCATTGAGACTGCAGTCCCGTATATCCTTATCTAGGAATAAGCATAACTGAGCTTACTTCTGAGTAGATGTGTATATAATTGTTCTGAGAGTTGTTTCTGACCTACTATTATTAGTTTCATATATGAACTGCTTCCCAGGATGCATCTTGATCTCAAAGTGACTTTACAATACTATATATATATATATATATATATATATATATATATATATACACCAACTGCATTTAGGGAAGAAGTTGCATATAAAAACAATTGCATATATAAAAACAATTTCAAATCTAATAAAGATAGCAATTGGGATAAAAATTTCCACTTAGAAGGCTTGTTGAAAGAGAATAATCTTTAGCAGGTGCTAAAAAGACAATAGAGATGGTGCCTGTCTGATAGACCAAAGGCCTGATTCTGGCACAGTTCGGAACAGACATCCTGATAAGATGGTATCTGTAGGACGCCCTCCTGCAAAGCACAGTGATCAGTTGACTATGCATTTCTTGACACCCCACCCAGGGCCAGGGATTATTGACCCATTCGCTGCTACTTTAGTACTCAGAGATAGTTGGAGGACTGTGATTGAAGTGCACAGCACACCTTCCTGTTAACAAGCAGATTTAATGAACATTGATTAGAATACATACCAAGTCAATAGTGGTCAGAACTGATTGTGCTCAATTAAAAGGGGGAGGGGAGAAAACAGATCAAATAAGAAATGCCCAAAGTTTTAAGCACCTATTCTTGCAAACCACGAAGGGCCAGCCAATCCAAATTATGAATACCACTACTCCATGTTCTTGGTTCTGCAGAGACACTGTACATTCACACTTGCATTTGAATATCGTTTATTCTACAAGTAACGAGGCACCTTGCCCTTTGTTTGCCATTCAAATTCTAGCTCTAATAGCTTTTTGTTTGCATTTTGCAGGGGACGGCATAATCTTTGGGTATGACTAGTAATTTTAATATGCTGTTTATGAGAAAAGAAGGCAGAGTGCCTAGCATAATCTGTAACCTGCCTCTGTTTGTGCTCCACTTCCAGATTTCCTTTGAAGAATCTCGTACTTCTTTTGACCTGTGTCAAAGTCTCAGATTATTGCTGTTTCTGGCTGTTGCTCACCCACCTCTTCCCCTGTCAAGAAGTCTTACTGCCAAAGTAAATTTGTGCTTCCTCCTGCCAGACACTTTACCTAATTTTGTCTCAGAGCCTTGGCTACTTCACAACCCTGGCTCACAACCCCATACCCCTTCAGCACACTACATCAACTTTATTGTGGGTGGGTATTGATGCACAGATGCAATTGCCCAAATTCATCGATTGTTAAGAAAATCAAAGACCCTGAACCTGCAATTCCGCCACTCCTGCTACTCATGCACACATGGAAATATTCCATTGAATGTCCCATTTAGGTGGAAATAATCTAAAATTCAATCTATTCTACACCTCCACCGTAGACAGAAAATCGGTCTGTCTACATTTTCTGTTCCTGCATTTCGGCATTGTCCCATGTGGACACACCACCACCCTTATATGCACAAAAAGTGTTTGAGCAACGACAATGGAGACGTGCTGATCTAAAATTATAACAAGGACGGCTTTATCAAGAATCATCTTTGTGCTCCCTTCAGTCCCATTTCAACAACTTAAATAACTGCTCTGTTTTGTAATTGGTGCTGTTAAAATGTCATGAACTGATCAGACCTGATCGTGTTGCCTAGTAGCTTTCAGAAGACGGAGTGCTGATTGGAATCTTTCTGTGTGGTTTTGAAGGAAGCCACTCCTGGTTAAAGAGAGAGTTCTATGAAAGCTTCCTTAGGAACCGGGAGAACAGAACTAAGGGGCATATAATACTGATTTCAGGTAAGTAATGCAGATGCAAAGATGTGCCTCGTTACATTAACAAACTGCAACAACTAAAAGCCATCCGCGTGTAGTCAAACGATCTCCTTTCTCAAATTTTGACTTCTGCCTTGTGGATAGATTGACCAGCAGTCTACAGATGACGCACTAAAGATTAAAATGCAAACTAAGAGCTAGTTCTCATCGCATTTTGTCATAACGTAACAGGTGCAGCACTAAACGTGTGCTTCACTTTTGAGGGTAGAAAAAGAGACGTGGAATTTCTGCCGTGCAAGACTGAACCTGCTACGATGCAAGCAGAAATGGCACTGAAAGGGAACACAAACATTAAGCTCAAAATGGCTTGTTCTGAAAGGGTTGCCTTATGTTAATACAGTAGTTTAAAAATGAAATTACATGCATTAGGCTGGCACAAAAATGTGGCTGTTGTCTAATATGTAACAGTAGCAATTAATAACAGAACACCTGGCACCTTGACTATTATTCTGCTGCCAGCTCTGACATTTCTAATAGCATTATGTGGTTGCTGGGGTGTTTGGTTGCTTTAAAAAAATGCGTTTTGTACTTTTGTTTTGTTTTTCATTGGGAACAAGTAGATCCTGCAACAAAACATTGCCGTATCCTTTGTCAGAATTTCAGCCATGTCCTTTTCCGAAATGCTGAATTCCTTTTCCCTTTCCTAGTTTTTCTTTTCCCTCATCAATAGTTGGTCAGCATTTTGTGGCCATTGAGAATGCTCAGTTCCTATCAGGATGGGGTTTTTTTTGGGGGGGGGGGTCTTTCCCTTATGTTTTTTCCCCCATGTAGGATGTTTTGTACTGCCATCTTGGGGTTTCTCTGACACAGTGATACCTGCCTCTTGTGTGTGGATGATGCCATTTTAATTACAAAATGATCCACGCCAATTCACAAAGTGTGGAAACCAGAGGATGGTTACGATGTAGTCACCCAGTGAAACTGATTGGTGGATTAGGGACAGACAAGTGAAAGTACATTTTAAAAGCCACCCACAATTTCTCCTCCCAATTTCCCCTCTCTCCGCCTTTGAGAGGCAGATCTAAACCATCCTCCCAGGTACCATATGATCACAGCTTTAGTTGGTCACTTCTGCAAGCAGATTGCTGGTCTGGATTTGGTAAAGTCATGTGATATGACTTTGTGTTTGCTTCTGACATGTGACCCGTGTCATTTTTATGAAGACGGAAACTACCAAGCCAAACAGATCCAAGTCGTGTCGGGCCTGAGTTATTATAACATCACACAAGAATAATAGAATCACAGAACCATATAATTTTACATTTGGAATGGACCCTGATTATCATCTAATGCAGGAGTCAGCAAACTTTTTCAGCAGGGGGCCGGTCCGCTGTCCCTCAGACCTTGTGGGGGGCCGGACTATATGGGGGTGTGTGTGAATGAACGAATACCTATGCCCCACAAAATAACCCAGAGATGCATTTTAATTAAAAGCACACATTCTACTCATGTAAAAACACGCTGATTCCTGGACCGTCCGCAGGCCAGATTGAGAAGGCGATTGGGCCGGATCCGGCCCCCAGGCCTTAGTTTGCCTACCCATGATTTAATTATACAACCCCCTGTCATAGTATGACAAAGCTCCTATTCTCTTTTGTATAGGCAAGCAACATACTAAAAGTGATCTGCATCTTTGCTGAGAGTAAAAAAATTAACCTTGATGAGACGTAATGCATATAGACTTCCTTGCCATTAGGAGATTTTAAAGGACTGAAGCGTACTAAGCAGTTCCTCCCCTTTTCCCACACGCCCCTTGCCAAGTCCAGGGCTTTTATTTCATTTGTATCTATGATGTAGTCTAGCAAGCCCCATTAAGGGAACGATATTGCCTATTCAACAGCATGAATCTTCCCTGTGTCACTAGACCTTGACCAGCTCATTATTAGTGGAATGGAGCCAGGGAGAGAGACAGAGTGTTTTCTCAAACATGTGAGGCGAGTGCGTCAGAGCTGTGGAGCAGGCTATTAACAGGGGTTTGTCCTTTGGTGAGGACCTCCTTTCCTCTCCGGCAGCTTTCTGAGCTGAACTTAAGACCCTTATTACAGATTCATGAATGAATGATTTTGATTTATTTTGGCAGCGTCTGGAAGCATCACAGTCCCGTGGAAGCAAGAACAACCAGCCATTTGTGCAAAATAAGAATGTCATTAGAATGCACCTTTTAGCAGATCAGCATTAAGCAGTAGAGAAAAACAGCAACCAAGGCCCAGAAGATTGTTTTTTGTGTCTTTGTTATGTGTAAACAGATCAGGTCTTAGCTTAGCATTCCTTGAAATGGTTACCTATATCATGTGGTAAATTCAAATTTACTCAAATATACAGTGGTACCTCGGGTTACAGACGCTTCAGGTTACAGACTCCGCTAACCCAGAAATAGTACCTTGGGTTAAGAACTTTGCTTCTGGGATGAAACGGTGAAATCAGCTATGATCAAATGGGCACAAGATGTTGGACATAACATAATGATGGCTGACTGGGAACAGTTATGGACCACAGGTATGAAGTTTATGGCATGTAATGCTTTAAGAGAAAATAGTATGAAAATGATATACAGGTGGTACATGACACCTGTCAAGCTTGCAAAAATCTATCATTTGCCCGATAATAAATGTTGGAAATGTAAAGAAACTGAAGGTACATTCTTTCACCTTTGGTGGACGTGCCCAAGGATTAAGGTTTCTGGGAGATGATTTATAATGAATTGAAAAAGATATTTAAATATACCTTCTTGAAGAAACCAGAGGCCTTTCTCCTGGGCATAGTCGGCCAATTGGTGTTAAAGAAGGATAGAACTTTCTTTATGTATGCTACAACAGCAGCAAGAATACTTATTGCAAAGTATTGGAAGACACAAGATCTACCCACTCTGGAAGAATGGCAGATGAAGGTGATGGACTACATGGAATTGGCGGAAATGACTGGCAGAATCCGAGACCAGGGAGAAGAGTCGGTGGAAGAAGATTGGAAGAAATTTAAAGACTATTTACAGAAATATTGCAAAATTAATGAATGTTAGAATGATGTTAGAATGATGTTAGGTGGTTTAAGCAGTAATGCTATAAAGGTGTTTGTAAAAAAGGATTGATAACAGGTGAAAAATTAAAGTCATAGTAAATTAAGCTAAAGGATCATGAGAAAATAAAGAGGGAAAGAAATTGCTGAATTAACTAATTGAACTGGAATACAAAAAAGGGAGGTATGAGGAGGTCAGGGAAATAAGGATATGAATGTAAGGTATGGAAAAATTGATCTATTTTTCTTTTTTAAGTGTTTTTTATTCTTTAATTCTGTACTTTGTATTTTGTATTTTTCTTGTATTTTTACTTTTGTTTCTTGTTTTTACTCTTCTTGTTTTTGTGTAATTCTTTTTTTCTGAAATTTTAATAAATATCATTAAAAAAAAAAAAGAACTTTGCTTCTGGATGAGAACAGAAATCGTGCGGTGGCAGTGCAGCAGCAGCGGGAGGCCCCATTAGCTAAAGTAGTACCTCAGGTTAAGAACAGTTTCAGGTTAAGAATGGACCTCTGGAACAAATTAAGTTCTTAACCCGAGCTACCACTCGGGTATTAGCATTTCTGTGAGAAACATCCACCTTCACATCAGCAGGCGTCTCCTTCCTTCCCTTCCCTCCCCCTGCATTTTTTATGCCCTTCGAATCCTCTCCAGAGGGTCCCGTAACCCTCTGAAGCACATTTTGAAGGTATACAGGAGGGGAAATTCATTCCTCCGATTGTGTCTATTCTGTTACTGGATGGGCACCATTGGATTTCACCCAGTGGTTTGGGATTAGGCTGTTTGAAGCCCTACCTTCTCTCGCGTTCCTGCCAGTGCCCAAACACAGTGGAAGCATCTCAGATGCCTTGTTTTACATCCCATTGCTACAAGAGGCTTGGTTGATTGGGAGCCAGGACAAGGCCTTTTCAGCTGATGTTGCCAGAGCTTTGAATTTGAAAGTGTATTGGCGAAGCACTCTGTTTGTTGGCTGCTAAGACAACTTGGGTTGCAGTTGCTTACAAAACGGGGGTCCCTCCTTTAACACTTACAAAGAATCATAATGCAATTTCTCCTCCATTCCCTTATCAGATATCTGAAGCATTTATCTGTGCTTTCACACCTTTATATCTGTAACTTTTACAAAAGCTAAAAAGTAATAAGAAACATAAATGTCTCGAGTAATAAAAACCCAGGACCTCCATACACACAGCCCAGACTTACGCTCCAGGGAGGTCATTCTGGAGCTGCAAACGCTGTGGTTTGACTTCACCCCTGGGGGCAGACTCCATTGCATCTCAAGACAGATGCATGCCAACAACAACAACAAAGCCTACACATAAAATAAGGTGAAAACCAAAATCTACAATAATGGCAATTAAATTAGTATCATGCAGGCAAATAAAGCAAGTGGTGCAACATGATGATGATGATTTTTTTGGACCATTTGACACGCTAGACTGGAAACAGGAAAAATGCTTTTCTTCTCTCTGTCACAAAAGTGTGTGTTGGTTTTTCTGTCTGTTATGACTTGAGTCCAAGGCGATGCTTTAGATTTAGAAAGGGGATTGCTCCATGTTACCTGACTAGGACAGTTCAATGTAAAAAGCCACCATGTGGCTCATCACATTTGCCAGTAGCATGGGGCAAAGGAAATGACAGGCACACCTTCTAGAATCAAGCCCTTGAATTGGATACCTTTCTAAACTAGAAGTCCTCCTATGGCCAGTGTGAAGATGTGTGAGGGGTCTTTTTTGTCAACAGCAACCTTAGACACAAAGGGTAGCTACATACATCATAAGTACTTTGTTGTTAGCTCTCCCATGTTGCACACTCCCGCCAGCATAAAATATCTATATGAGAATGAAACTGGTAGCCGAAACTCCAAGAATATTGTTATCTTTACCTCTCAACTTCCCACCATCTGTTCACCTGTTATAAAACATCCTGACAAACCGGGCCAGATGAAGCTGTTTTTCATCTCTGTGTGCAGCCAGCTGCCATTAGCGTTGCACAAATCTGGCCGGGCACAGAAAAATATTCATAGGATGATTGGCTTAAATCTCTGCTGTAGGAGAAAATGATTTTTTAATGCAGTGACAGATGTCTTGTGCTGGCAGGTGCTCAGTTTGACAGCGTATCTTGGACCCGGACTGTTGACTTTATCATTGACTGTAGCATGACAAACAGAACCTTTTGATCTACATATAGGCACACAGATCACATAAAACGCGTTTCCCTCTGTTGAGATATCCCTTTTTAATCTGTAGGTGGAGGGTTTTCTGAAAGATAATTTATGCTTTCATATGGCCCTTGTTTTCTTGAGGCATACAAATTAAAACCACGAGTATCTTGCAATAATGTCTTTCAGAATCCTACTTTAATTTAGAGCTCTAAGCGCTACTTACATATTAATTAACATTTCTTTGCTGAGAAAAGACAAATCCCATGCTGGGTTTGTTGTGAGAATGTCAGAGAAGTCGGTTGAAAATGGGCTATCAGGCAGATTTCCTTCTGCCCATTCTGCTCCTGCTATGAATTATATTTATCTTAGTTCTCTACAACAAAATGGTTTAAAAAAAAACAACATATGCCCATTATACATACATCCATTGCTTTGTAATGTGTGCTATTTACATATTCATGGAAGTACAGTTGCTGCTGTCCTGAAAGGTGCTTTATTCTTTTTTCCGGAAGTGTTTGTTGACATGCAAGTTGTTTGTTTTGTAGATTGGTTGTTGCTGGGGCAGACTATAAATGCTAAAGCTGCACTCTCACTATACTCCAAAGCAAATCCTACTGAATTCAATGCAGCTTACTTCTAGGTATGTAGGGGGTAATCTGCTTTAACTGCAGCCTTAATTTGCTTCCTGCTGTGAATTTTAAAAACTAAAGGCATGCATGCATAGTTCATTATTCTTTTCACATGGACATTAGCTTGAGCGGTTTGTTTCAGCACCCAGCTATGGTATGTTCTGAATAAAGTACACATTTATGAATTAAAACACTACAGTACCATGAAAACATGGACTTACATGGTTAAGCGGCAGAAGTAAATCATACAATTCAGGACACAAGGAGCAAGATATCAACAGGGTGATAAACTGTTCCTCCCTGATGCCTAAGGAATGGAAAGAAGATGGGATAACAAGCTTAAACTGTAGTGAACTGTGAAATCAAGCTGGCAAAATGCGATGAAATTCTAATTCCACATTAGTAAGACCCATTGAATTCAATGGGCATGCAAAGGCACGTTCCTGAACTGTCTCCTGAGATAGACAGGTGCCTACCTAGGTGCTTAGAATTGCAGCCATAAATGACTTTGTGATGGGTCATTAGCTGCTTCATTAACTTTGTATTTGAGATGCCAGTGTCTTTGCTGCAAAAGACTTAAGAGCATCATCCCACTGTAAATGTATTAACTTTGAAAGGGAACATGCTAGGCCCATTGGCATACAGCTGTATGGGAAACACACAGGAAGATATATTTTACATCAAGGTATAGTGACCTGCATGGGACGCGGGTGGCGCTGTGGGTAAAACCTCAGCGCCTAGGGCTTGCCGACTGCATGGTCGGCGGTTCGAATCCCCGCAGCGGGGTGAGCTCCCATCTTTCGGTCCCAGCTCCTGCCCACCTAGCAGTTTGAAAGCACTCTTAAGTGCAAGTAGATAAATAGGTACCGCTTTATAGCGGGAAGGTAAACGGTGTTTCTGTGTGCTGCGCTGGTGCCGGCTCGCCAGAGCAGCTTCGTCACGCTGGCCACGTGACCCGGAAGTGTCTCCGGACAGCGCTGGCTCCCGGCCTCTTAAGTGAGATGGGCACACAACCCTAGAGTTGGACCCGACTGGCCCGTACGGGCAGGGGTACCTTTACCTTTATAGTGACCTACTATGAATGGTCCTTCATGCCACCCATATGAGGACTTCACTGCTCTCCTAGGCAGTCGTTAGCCTTATTTTGCTAAATTAGTTACCTTGTCCACTTGCCACCTGGAATGCCTGCAAGAGATAGCATGCAGCTCTACGAAATTGGGAGGATCCTAGCCTTAATATCTGCAAGAGATAGCGGCTACATTGGGAGAATCCCATGGGCGTTAGAGTTATTATTTGCAGCTGTAGCCCAGATCATGTGGCCCACACCACGTGTGGGGAATTCAGCTACCGTAAGTCATCATGAGACAGGCAAACAAACTTTGGAGAACCTGGGAGCTGAGCGTCAGCAGACCTACAGGCCTGGGGTGCTGTGTGACCCAGTGGCTACAGTGGGGTTCTATCCACTGCTATCTCTTTGCGGCTCTCAGCAGTATACCTGAATGAGCGTCTTCACTCCCATCGTTCAGCCCAGACACTGAGGTCCAGCTCCAAGGACCTGGTGGTTTCCTCCCTGCGAGAAGTGAGGTTACGGGGAACCAGGCAGAGGGCTTTCTTAGTAGTGGCACCCACCCTGTGGAACGCCCTCCCATCAGATGTCAAGAAAATAAACAACTACAGTAGTCTAGTTACGAACTTAATTTGTTCCGGAGATCCAATCTTAACCTGAAACTGTTCTTAACCAGAGGCGTGCTTTCGCTAATGGGGCCTCTTGCTGCTGCTGCGCTGCCGGCACACGATTTCCGTTCTCATCCTGGGGCAAAGTTCTCAACTCGAGATAACTCTTCCAGGTTAGCGGAGTTTGTAACCTGAAGCGTTTGTAACTTGAGGTACCACTGTATCTGACTTTCAGAAGACATCTGAAGGGAGCCCTGTTTAGGGAAGTTTTTAATGTTTGATGTTTTATTGTGTTTTGAATATTCTATGAGGAAACCCAGCCAGATGGGTGTGTTATAAATAATAAATTGTTGTTGTTGTGAATGGAGGCGTTGCTTGCTTGGTACAGTATATTTTCCTGTGTAATCTGCCTGCTGTTTAATAAATCTTAAGGCTTCTTCACCACCTGTGTCTTGTACTGCTTCTGAATCCCATATAAAGAACCCCTCTTGCAGACAATCGTGCATCCGCAGCAGTGACCAGAGGAGGAATGACCGCTGGGAGGAGTGCAGAGAGAAGAACTGCCATGGTGCATCTGCAGCAGCACAACCAGACGCCTGCATCTGCTCCAGCTGCAACAAAACATGTCTCTCCTGTATCAATCTCTACAGCCACAGCAGGTGCTGCAACCTTCCCACAGTTTGACTTCCCCCACAAAGGCGCACTCCTCCATTGTCTCCCGAGACAGATGGATGCCAGCCAACCATCTGTTGATGGC